GCTCAAAAGGATGAGTCCTGGGGGACTGATTTGTTCTGTTGGAAACATGTCTCTCCCTGTCTTCTTTTTTTTTTCTTTTTTTTTCCAGTCTGGTCGCTCTTGTTACGGTGGGGGGTGGAGCCTTAGGTGTTCACCGGGACTGGGCACCCCAGTCGCTAGATTGTGACCTTATATGTGGGGGCGGGAGCGGGGACAGGAGGGAACAATGGCGGTAGTTCCGTTCTCCTGGGATCTCAGTCCCTTCTCTGGGATCCTGGGCTGCGAGCTCTGCCCCGGTCCACAGTCGCCGCCTCACTGGGTCTGCCAGCCGCAGCTTGTGTACTCAGGGACCACCGCTCCGTTCTTGCGCCCCGGATGGCTCTCTCACCGATTTCGCGCCAAGTTTTCCCCGACCTCCGCGTGCCGCCGACCTGTGCCCGCCCAGCTCGTCATCTACCAGTCTGGATGTACGGGTCCACTTCAACTTCTTGGCTGTCTGACTTCCATTCAGATAAATCTCTGTCAGTTCTGGGTGTTATTCTATCTGTAAATTATTGTTGTTCTAATCTTGGTTGTGCGAGGAGGTACGGTGCGTCCACCTATTCCTCCATCTTGCCGGAAGTCCTCTATTGTATTTTTTTAAAAATATCAGTCCACAATGGAGTGGAAAGTTTTATACAACACACACACACCCCAAAACTGGCCCCTGAGGTAATCTGAGAAGCATTGATCTAGACAACCCTCAAATTCAAACGATCAGCAATAATCTTACTTTTGTTTTTTTTCCATAAAGTATATTGTATTGATTCTGCTAATACAGTTGTCCCATTTTTTTTCTCCTCTATATCCCCTCTGCCCTGCACCCACCTCCCTTCCTTCAGTATTACCCCGCCTTAGTTCATGTCCGTGGGTTGTACATTTAAGTTTTTTGGCTTCTCTATTTCCTATACTACTCTTAACCTTCCCTGTCTATTATGTGCCTACCAATTATGCTTCTTATTCCCTGTACCTTTTCCCCCCATTCTCCCGCTTCCTCTTCCCCACTGATAACCCTCCATGTGATGTCCATTTTTGCGATTCTGAAACAGGAAAAGCTGGTGTTCATGCTGCCGATTACCTACCAGACCCAATGAACAGAGGCAGGGTTTAAATCTTTAGGCATGCTTTATTCAGATGGCCTGTGATCTGAGAAGACAGTGGGTTTGTACTGTAACAGACCATCTTAAAATCCATTTTGAAATGGTTTTTTTACAAGGAGAACAAAGTGTAGGTAAGGGGGTTGGAATTCAAGGAAAACTTAATTGGATTAAAAAACTTCAGCATTCTTGCCCTGGGTGGTGGCCATCCCACTCTGGAGTACAAGGGCTCAGATATCATCTTGGATTGCTTGCAGTCCACCCCCCCCCCCCACCCCGAGGCACAAAGGTGGAACTGCTCATGGTCTCCTGGAGCCAGGGTGGGTCATACCTTCAGTTCCTCAAACAACGGCTTTTACATGCATTGATTACTAAGCTTATTAGCTATTGCTTAAACTAAGTCCTCCATCAGTTCTGTTCCTGTTCTAGTTGTTTGATTAGTGTTTGTTTTTTAGGTTCAGTTGTTGATAGTTTGAGTTTGTTGTCATTTTACTGTTCATATTTTTTATCTTCTGTTAGAAAAGTCCCTTTAACATTTCATATAATAAAGACTTGGTGATGATGAACTCCTTTAACTTGACCTTATCTGGGAGGCACTTTATCTGCCCTTCCATTCTAAATGATAGCTTTGCTGGATAGAGTAATCTTGGATAGACAGATCCTTGCCTTTCAAAACTTTGAATATTTCTTTCCTGCCCCTTCTTGCCTGTAAGGTTTCTTTTGAGAAATCAGCTAATAGTCTTATGGGAACTCCTTTGTAGACAACTGTCTCCTTTTCTCTTGCTGCTTTTAAGATTCTCTCCTTACCTTTAATCTTGGGTAATTTAATTATGACATGTCTTGGTGTGTTTCTTCTTGGATCCAACTTCTTTGAGACTCCCTGGGCTTCCTGTACTTCTATGTCTAGTTCCTTGGCCAGATTGGGAAGGTTTTCCTTCATTATTTGTTTAAATAAGTTTTCAATTTCTTGCTCTTCCTCTTCTTCTTCTGACACCCCTATGATTTGGATGTTTGAACGTTTAACGTTGTCTCAAAGGTTCCTCAGCCTCTACTCATTTTTTCAAATTCTTATTTCTTCATTCTGTTCCAGTTGGATGTTTATTTCTTTCTTTTGTTCCAAATTGCTGATTCAAGTCCTGGTTTCCTTCCCTTCAATGTTGGTTCTTTGTATATTTTTCTTTATTTCACTTTGTATAGCCTTCACTTCTTCCTTTATTTTGCAACATTACTCAGTCATTCCTGTGAGCATCCTGATTGCCAGTGTTTTGAACTCTGCATCTGATAGGTTGGCTGTCTCGTTGTCGCTAAGTTCTTTTTCTGGAGTTTTGATCTGTTCTTTCATTTGGGCCATATTTCTTTATCTTGGCTCACCCCTTATATTGTAAGGGGTGGAGTCTTAGGTATTCATCAAAGCTGGGCAGCCCACTTCATTGAGTCGTGGCACTGTGTGCGGGGGAGGGTCAGAGAGGGAACAGTGCTGCTTGCTTGGCTCTCACCCCACTTTACGTCACTTCCCTCGCTTCCCACAAGCAGATTGTGCTCTTTCAGGTGCTGATTCCCGGGTGGGTGGGCTTGTGTACATTCTAGGATCCATGGGTCTCTCCAACCAACTCTCCTGTGAGACTGGGAGTTCCTCCTGCCACCACAACCCCCACAAATTTTACAGCCAGAGGTTCTGAGGCTTTAATTCCCCGCTCTGGAACCCTGGGCTGCTCCCCAGTTGTTCCTCCTGGTTTATCTGCACACGAATGTGGGACCGCCCACTCTGTTAGCGGCCACCTTGCCTGCCCCAGTCAGCCAGCCACTGCTGCCTTGTTGCAAGTCCTTTCTGCCCTGGTTTCTCATCTCTACCTCTCCTACCAGTCTGGATGAATGTTTCTTTAGTTCCTTGGTTGTTGGACTTCCATACAGTTTGATTTTTCTGGCAATTCTGTTTTTTTGTTTTTAAATTGGTTGTTATCCTTCTTTTAGTTGTGTGAGGAAGTAAAGCATGTCTACCTACTCCTCCATCTTGGCCGGAAGTCCTCTACCTCATAATCTTAACTTTGTACATGGGTAACAAGGTGCATATTAAACTATTTTGCTATTTTTTAAAAATAAAATAGGAGTAACAGTTGATTTTCTCACTATTTTCATTTGCACAAAGATGTCTCCAGTCAGTTATTTTTATAAGGGATAATTATAGTCTAGCTAAGGAAATGTTTGTTCTTAGAAATATCCAGTATTTTTAGTTAAAAGGGTAATACTATTTTAGTTTGGCTTTTTGGGGGTTACCAAAAAGACTTGTTTAACTTTTGGATCTATTACTCCGAGAATATTGTCCTTTTATTTGTGTTTTCTGAAGTGATCTCGTTTAGCCTCTGGAATAACCGTAGGACAGCCAGCCTTTATTGGCCGTTTCATTGTGCACTAGAGCTATTCACAAAGTTGTTAAAGTGAAATTAATGTTAGGACTGGATCTTATACTGATAAAGAGTTAAAACTTTTCTTCAAATACCCTAACATATTGGAAAACGTCACTAATATGGGTAAGCAGAAAACAACCATTTATTGAGTTACTGCAAAATTAAACTACAAAATAGTAACTTTTTGTCAGATATAAATGGAGCATTTCATTTATTCAACCTTTTTCTAGCAGACCCTGGCTAGGGTCTGAGATATAGTAAACTGCAATGTTTTCTGCATATGCAGAGCTTACTTTATTGGGGAAGACAGATGTTAAGCAATTAATTGTAACAAAAAAGAAAGAGGGAAAGTATTGAGTTGTGTGGGTATACATATGATGAAAACTTATCTTAGGCTAGACAATTAGGAAAAGGTGGGTATGCGAGAAAATACATCTAATAAATAAACAGGAGAAAATGTTAGCCTACCTGGTGATAAAATAACTAATTAGAATACTGAAATGCCATTTTTATATGAAATTAAGGAGTTTTAAAGTTAAATATTTTCTGTGAATTAGCATTTGGGAATTATTACTATCATTTTAAAGTCACATAACTTTTAAAAAACAATTTTTAACTTTTTAATATAACCCTACTATGGACTTTTTAAGGAATTAAGGAATTTTTATTAAGGCGGTAATGCAAAATGTGAATATCCAAAAATCAGTGAACAGTTAATTGATGTAAGATCTACACATGGAACATTGATCTATTTAAAAATAATAGTGAAGAGTAAGCAGCAGCATGGAAAAATGAATAATACACTAATTGGAATATAAATAATTTTTATCATTAAAACTTTATAAAATTGTAAAAATCATCTTATCCTGTATAAGATGAAAGAAAGCACATCAAACTGTTAATGGTGTGGAGTTTTAGTGATTTCCACCTGTATTCCCCCCCACCCTTTCTAGCTACTAGAATCATCTACATTGTATCTGGTCTTGTAAGGTCCCTTCTGAAATACAGATTTGACTATGTGTGTTTGTTGTTGCTCTTGCTGCTTATAGCTCTCCCATGTCATCACACTTACATTGACTATCAGGTAAATTCAAAATTTATTGCCTTAACATTCAAGACCTGTCATACCTTTTTTCTCAAATTCCTATCTTCTCTTTACCGCAGCAAACTATTCTCTTTGTCCTACCCTTTCCCATTCTCTAGCTCATGTAAGTCTATTCCTCCTTCAGGGCCACAAGTAAGTATCATACTTCCTTGAAGTCTTTCCTCCCCATCCCTTTTTCTCACAAATTAATCTCTTATTTTTGTCTGTTTCTTAGGTCCTCTCAGTGTAGTCCTTACAACATTGTATTATTATAGATATATATATTTTTTCCAACGCGGAAACTACGGATAGTATGTCACCAGTGATTGTTTGGCATGCAACAGACAGTAAGTAAGTAGAAATTGGTTAACTGTCAGTGCTTTTAATCTGTTGCAGGGGCATTTATGTAATGAGCCTTTGGATATGTACAGTTATTTACACAACCAAGGGATTGGCATTTCACTTGCTCAGTTCTACATTTCATGGGCTGAAGAATATGAAGCCAGGGAAAACTTTAAGAAAGCAGATATGATATTTCAGGAAGGGATTCAACAGAAGGCTGAACCACTGGAAAGACTGCAGTCCCGGCACCGGTAAGCTGCTTCTCTGGAGCTTGTTTAAACTCTTTGAAACTACTGGCTATAAATGGTCGTTTTTACATCTAATAATGTGCTCTCCGTGGATTGGTAGGTTTACTCAGTTACTACTCAGTTTTTTAAAAGGCATATTTAACTTTTTAACTTAACATACAGTAAAATTCATTCTATGGTATACGGTTTACAAGTTTTCACAGATGAAGAGACATGTAACAATTACGATGACCGTGATAGAGACTAGTTCCATCACTCCATGGAATTCTAGAACACTGAACCCTTCATGGTCAACACTGACTCTCACTCCCAACCTCTGGCATCAGCTGATGTATTTTCTAGCCCCATAGTTTTGCCTTTCCATAATGTCATAGACAGACTGATACAATATGTAGCCTTTTGAGTCTGGCTTTTTTCATTTAGCATCATGCATTTGAGGTGTAAGTGTTCTTTATGTATTCCGATACAGGTCTTTTGTCAAATAAGTGATTTGTAAACTTCTTGCAGCTTAAGTCTGGTCTATTCATTTTTTTAACTATCTTTTATGGAATAAAAGTTGTTAATCTGAAGAAGTCTAACATTGAGTATTTCTTTTGGATGATTTTGGTATATCTGAGAATTTTGTCTCAGCAAAGGTCACAAAGATTTTCTCCATTGTTCTTATCTTAAAGTTTTATCATTTCACTTTGTACATTTAGATCTGTGATCCATTTTGGGTTAATTGTTTTAGAGGGTTTGGGCTGAGGTTCTTTTTCTGTAGATGAGCCTCTATTTGTTCCTATGCCACTTGTTGAAAAGACTTCCTCCATAAATTACCTTTGCACATTTGTCAGAAATCAGTTTCAGTTTGATCATTTTTGTGTTGGTGTATTTCTTTTATTCTATTTTGTTCTATTGGCCTGTGTATTCATTTGTGTATACCACGTTATCTAGATTACTGTAGCTTTATAGTAGGTCTGGAAGTCAGGTAACATGAATTCTCTAACTTTGTTCTTTTTATCTCTTCTAATTCCTTTGACTGTAATGTCTTGATTTTTCTCTGGGTTTATTTAAGATTTTTTTCTTTAACACTGGTTTTTAGCAGTTTGATTGTGATGTATCTAGATGTGATTAACTTTGCATTTAATCCATTTGGAGTTTAATGAGCTTTTTGAATTTATAAATGTATGCCATTCACAAAATTTGTCAAGTTTTCAGCCATGATTTAAAAATGTTCTTCGGCACCTCTATCTCTTTCTTCTTCTGGGACTTCAGTTTCACATATGTTAGATCTTTTGATATTGTCCTACAGGTCCCTGAACCTCAGTTCCTGTTTTAAAAAATTTTATATCTTCTTTCTGTTCTTCAGAACGGCCAGTTGTTACTGATTTGTCTTCAGGTTTGTTTACTCTTTCATCAGTCCTCTTCATTTTGATACTGAGTCCATCCAGGAAATGTTTTATTTTAGATACTGCGTTTTTCAGGTCTAAAGTTTCCATTTGATTCTTTTTATATATTCTGTATCTCTGCTAAGAACTTTTATCTTTCTACTCATTTCAAATGTTTCTACCTTTATCTCATGGAGCATAGTTATAATGGCGGCTTTAAAATCTCTGAAAACTTTTCATACCTGGGTCATCTTGATGTTGTGTCTCTTGGTTATCTTTTCATTTGAGAATTAGTCACACTCTCCTGGTTCTTTGTATGTCAATAATTTTGGATTTTATCCTGGCCATTTATACCGATAACATATTATTACACTCTGGGCCCTGTTGGTTGATATTCTGTGGAGAATGTTGATGATTTTGTTTCAGCAGGTAACCAACATTCATATGGTACAAGTTCTTTCTCATTTTATGTAAGTAGTACGTTGTGTCAATTCAGTTTTCAGGACCTTTGGGTTTGTGCTGTGTGTTTTGCTCAGGGGATATTCTGGGACTTGGACAGTGGTTTATATTAGAGCTCAGTTCTCATGACCTTTTTTGTGCTGCCTTGGTTCTGCCCTGTGCGTGCACAGCTGAGAAGTGAGTGAGTCCAGGGTTTGTGCCAGTTCAGGTACAGAATTAGGAGGTCCTCTTCTTCAGCTGACCCTCTCCCATACTTGTCCCATACCCATTGGCCCTCAGAGTTCCCCTTTCCCAGGCCTTTGGCCAGAAAGATGAGATTTCTCTAGGAGTTTTAGCTTTCCACACCACCATTGCAACAATTCAGAACCACAGGAGAGCCCTGGCTGTTGTGGTTCAGTTGGTTGGAGCATCCATCTAGTAACTGGAAGGTTGCAGGTTCAGTTCCTGGTCTGGGCCCATACCTAGGATGAGGGTTTGATCCCCAATCCTGGTGCCATCAGGAGACAGCCAATCAATGCTTCTCTCTCCCTTCCTCTCTCTCTAAAACCAATGAAAAAATGTCCTCGGGTAAGGATCAAAAACAAAAACAAACAAAAAAAACCCCACAAAAAAGCCACAAGAAAAAAAATAGAAGAAAGGAAAAAAATAGAAGGGAAAAAAAAGAGGAAACAACCCTGTGTGGGTTGTTTCTTCAAGTTTGACTCGTCTCCACAGTCCACTTGCTTTTGTTTACTTTTCAGAGTTGCTTTTTTGTGTTATCTTGAGAGATTTTAATTCTAACCAGTGAGGGGGGTGCTATCATGGGCTTACTCCATGTTGGCCAGCACTTGCAGTTTATTTTTTGTTTTTGTTTGTTTTTACCCTTTTGTTAATACTTAAAACTTTGGCAGTAGCACAACTTTAGTCTTCAAACTTCTGCCAGTTTTGCTAAAGTGAAATGTTATGCTGGATGCAAATTTATTTCACATGATTCCAGAAAAAGGGTGAGTTGTGGGGGCGCTCTATGGAGAGGGAAAGAGACACATAAAAGACAGTGATAAAATACTGTGACAAGAAGTTAGCAACTAATAAATCTACATGAAAGGTATTTGGGTGCTTATTTACCTTCATCAACTATAAGTTTAAAAAGTTTTATAATAAAACTCTGATATTAATAAATTCTGTAACCTTAGTCACCCTGATCTTATCCTCAGACCATCCTAATGGTGATCTTCAGAGTATTTTTAATTGGTCACGCTTAGACATTTAAAGGGGGAAGCTTAAGCATTCTAGCCCAAACCTCTCATCCCAAGGTGGCTTCTTTATGCCTGAGAAAATAAACACTTTATTTGGGCTATTTCTGTATATTTCTTCCCTCATCTTACCCTTCTCTCTTGTTTTAACAAATTAGAAATTTGAATCTGGTGAGTAGTGTTTATCTCACCAAAAGTTAATTGCTCATTCTTTTCCTTTAGACAATTCCAAGCTCGAGTGACTCGGCAAACTGTGTTGGCACTTGAGAAAGAAGAAGAGGAGGAAGTTTTTGGATCCTCTGTACCACAACGAAGTACACTGGCGGAACTTAAAAGCAAAGGGAAAAAGACAGCAAGAGCTCCAATCAACCGTGTAGGAGGTGCTCTGAAGGGTAAGTTTGTTCAATGTTATGGGAATCTCTTAGTCTCAAGTGGTAGGCAGATTACGTAAAGAGATAATGTATATGTAGACATTGTCCTAGTTTTCTGAGTACTAGGTAGCAAAAAAAAGGAGAGCTGAGATCACAGTGTGCACAAAAAAACAAAATGTGCCAGCAATTTTGTGCCTTCATTAAGAAAAACCTAATATAGGAAGCATGAAGTGTTTCTATTTAAGTGTTATTAGTTGAAAAAAGATAAATATTGTCAAAGTTTATATAATTAAAGTCTACACCTACCAAAACCTCAGAGAATGTATTAATTAACATAGTCTTCAGTCTTTTGGGGCTAGAAATTGGTCTGTCTTTGTACACCTAAAGATGAACAGTAAGCTATTTTTATTTCACTATTTTTTAGGGAAATTTTAGGTTCACAACAACATTGAGCAAAAGGTACAGAGAGCAATAAATTTTTATTAAAATTTGTAGCATTAGGCATGTAAATAAGAATAATTTTAAAAAATCTCTTATCCCTTCTTTGGTATCAACTTACAATATTTAGACTGTTTCTTGGAGATCCTAGAATGAGAGTATAAAGGAGTAGATGGTCCTAAAGAACATTTCATTCAGTTAACGATGAAGCTTGATTGTAACAAGCAGCCCTAGGACAGAGGACAGCCCTAGTAAATGGGCTAATTGTAGTTTGTCTTCTCTAGATTTGGTACAACCCATCTGATTTCCACTGACAGAAAAATTTGAATTGAAAAATGATGATTTAGGTTAGGTTCGTCTCGATAGAAGTAGACATTGTTAGAATGATGACTGAAGGAAGATGTAGTACTTGGGTTTTTATACCTGTTGAATAGAGGATTGTAGAAGAGGGAAAGGGAGAGTGTAAGTAACAACACACAATGGACTAAAAAGGTAACTAATTATTTTTTTAAATTTCTTTGATTCCATGGTAATAGAAGTAACCTTCTCTGGCTTCTGAGTGGGATAATTAAAGATTTTACATGGTTTTAATGTTTTTCTCCTAGCTCCAAACCAGAACAGAGGACTCCAAAATCCATTTCCTCAGCCAGTGCAAAGTAATTCTAGAATCAGTATTTTTGATGAAAATGCTGATGAGGCTTCTATAGCAGAGCTGTCTAAGCCTGCAGCGCAGCCATGGACAGCACCCCCTGTGTCCAGGGCCAAAGAAAACGAGCTGCAAGCAGGCCCTTGGAACATGGGCAGGCCTTTGGAACACAGGGTAAGGACTCAGATCCAGTGTACTTGACAATGTAACAAAAACTTCAGGTTTAGGGTAAAAAATTCCTCTTGAATAATTAGGCATGGTCTGCATCTTTTGTGTCAGAATGTAAAACTATGGTAATTTTGGTTGTCTTCTTCATCACCAGCACCATGGCAGCACAGCTTCTGTGACAGCCGTACCCTCTACGCTTCCCAGTTTTACTCCATATGTGGAAGAGACTGCACAACAACCTGTTATGTGAGTTTGATTTCCAGATTTTCTGAGGTGGGAATTATTAAGTGTGGGTAGAGGCACTTACCCTGGTTCCCAAAGGCATTTTCTTCTTTAGGGGTATGGAAGGAACTAGACGAAGTTTTGTGTTTCCTTTATGTCTGTGTTCCTTTGGGTATGTTAGGGTTCAGAGACTATTTGGTAATATTCTAATTGAGGAGTAAGCTTAATTGGTTTATATTCACATTTCTGTAAGTCAAAGTTAATCACTGTGATTTAAGTGAGATGTTCTACCTTTATTATTAACAGGAATTAGAATTATGATAATTTTTTCTCTGCTCCTGCCCCTTCAGATGTCTTTTGCTTTTTCTTCCTAGTCTTTAGCATTTCTGTTTATAAGAGAATGATAGATGATGACTAGTTAATCAGGCAGCCTGAGATTTAGTCTAGTACATGACCTTGTGGAATTCTAGTGCTAGATCGTATTCTGTCTCCCAGTGCAAGTCTCCTCATAACTAACCTGTAACCCTGTGCTATGTGCTAGGTAGTACGACAGTGTAGAAATAGACACGATTTAAAGCAGAACTTCTGTTTGATAAGAACTGAACACAAGGGAGATTATTCTTAAGAAAATCATATGAGTCCTTACAAAGGATCACCTGAAGAAATTGATATGTACACACTTATGGATGTTTAATTTTCTTTATGTTTCAAATCACTTTGTAGACACAATTATGTGAGACTAAGTATGATATAGAAAATGTTCAACTTTATTTTCATTTCTGCTCAAAATTTTCTATGGCTGTCTTATTTGACCTCTCTATAACATTTTTCTTTAGTTTGTGTTTCTCTTAATGTGTCCCAGGGACTTTTCATAGATTAAGAAAACCAGCTAACATCTGTAATAGGAGTTGCAAATATTTTCCCCAGTTTGCCCCTTATCTTTTGATGTCACACAGCAAATACTGGGTTGGCCAAAAAGTCCGTGTGACTTTTTCCATAAAATAAAAGACACATTTTTTGTGCTCACCAATACTTTATTGATTTGAATACTTTGAGTATGTCGGCTATCTCCTGCATGGTATAATGTTCATTGTTCTCAATTAATATCTCGATTTGATCGCTATCAACTTCATCTGGTCTACCTGACCATCTGGTCTACTTGACCATGGAGCGTTGTCCCGTGAAAACTCTCCAGCATGAAACTTTGCAAACCACTTTTGACACATTTGATCAGTCACAGCACCTTCTCCGTACACTGCACAAATTTTTTTTGTGTTTCAGTTGCATTGTTACCTTTCTTAAAAAAATAAAACATAATATTCCAGGGCCCAGATGCCCTTGGGTGAAACAAATTCAAGGGCCGAAGCAGCATTGTATCTCACAGAGAAAAATGAAGGGGGAGACCTATCAGGGAGCATCCACGTGCAGTATATCCACGGGGACCAGATGGCACCCGGAAGGGTGAGAGAATGGAGGGGCAGAAGGCATATTCTGGGCAAGTCCTAGCAACGTAGGGGAAGATGAGAGGAAAAACTCCTGAAAGAACACTGGTCCCTAAATACAGGTCCTTTGCAGAACCATGTAAGAAAGGCCCTTCCTTACACACATAGGTATCACACTGCTCTCCTTTGGGGGCAAAATCAGAAAGGCCTGGCAGCACAGGCCCAAGTCTATCACACGCAGCTCTCCTTGCCCCTCCCCAACCTGCCCTTAGATGGGGGCCAAACAAGGACCCACTGGGCCCCTCCCCAAATAATTCCTATGGGGAGAAAAATAAAAAACAAATACATACTTAGGAATAAGAACCTTAATCATACAAAAAGTCCAAATAGTCTAATTTTTGCCTTCTGACGAGGTTTCCTGTCCAGTTCAGACATTATTTCATTTCTTAAAAATAAAGATATCCACTCTCCCTCCCCACAAAAGCTATTTTATACAGCTCATCCCACACACCCCAAACCAGGCATTGCTCCTTTGACACAAGGTAAATTTAAAACTTTGCTGCATCCTCACAGTGTCTAAGGGGCTGCTCATTACAAACACCTCAAACTCAGTCTGCAGAGGAGGGGATAACAGAGGGCAGGGAGGCCTGCCAAGGGCCCTGCCCCTTCACAAGGAAAAGGAAAAGACAAATCGAGAACAGAGTTTCCTTCCCCTGCTTCACCATCAGACTGGGGCCCTGGGCCCGGGCTCTGCTGGGCTCATGAGGTCTCATGACTTCAAGATTCTAGTGTGTACCAGCCTGTCTTCTCCTGGGCTAGGTCTTGCTGTCACAGGCAGATGTGCACCTAGTCAAGGAGAATATTCTCTGCATTCTTGCTCACTCAACATTAAGCTGTAGCTCTCACTGCTGCAAGTCGCCCTTGAGGATCCCATCATATGCATTTCACTGTAGGCGCGATTGTTTCCTAGGCTGCTTTTGTTTTCTTCTTGGTTTTCTGAAAGTCAGGCAGTAGATAAGTCTTCACATAGGGGTCAGGGTCATTCCCATCCTGGAGCAGTTGCATGGTCTGAATATGCATCACTATGATGAAGAGTTTGTTATTTTTGTAGGGGGTGGGCAGCTTTACCTCTCCTCCCGTCTTCCCAATGTGGTCAGGCTGGTGCTTGCAGCCTTTTCATCCTGGGACAGGGGGTAGAAGAAGGTATATACCAAATCACTCTTGCCACCTCCATAGTAGCATGGAACAAATTCATTCCTCTTTATGATTTCTGTGTCTCTGTCATTTTTTGGTGGGATTGCTGCAGCCTAACTAATCTCCCTACCTCTACTTTACTCAGCCCATGCATTCTTCATGCCTTCACAGCTGCAGTGCCAATCTGATCATGTGTTTTCCCGATCAGAGTCCCTTGCTAGTTCTCCTTAACCTATGTGATGAGACCCAAACTCCTTAACATAAATTATAAAACCATTTATGATTTGGCCTCTGCTAATATCTTCAGTTTTCTTACACTATACTGTTTGCAAGAGTAGCCACTCTTTGGACATTTGGGTTGTTTCTTTCTGCATTTTGGCTGTTATGGATAATGCTTCTGTGTGTATATATTTTTGTGTAGACATATGTTTTCGATTCTTTTGGGTATACGAGTATAGCTAGAAGGGAGCTGCAGAGTTGTATAGTAACTCCACGTTTGACATTTCGAGGAACTGTTAAACTGTTTTCCAAAGAGGCTGCTCCATTTTATATTTCTACAATACCTCAGTGAAGATTCTGATTTCTCCACATCATAACCAACACTTCTTATTTTTGTTCTGTTTTGTTATTGCCATTAGGGTTTTTGATTTGCATTTTCCTAATCACTAGTGATGCTGAGCATCTTTTCATGGGCTTACTGGCCACTTGTATATCTTATTTGGAAAAATGTCTACTCAAATCCTTTGTTTATTTTTCTTTTTTATTCCTCTTAACAATGTGACTTTTTTCTTTTCATCTTCACCAGAGGGTATGTTTATTTACTTTAGAGAGAGGAGAAGGGAGAGGAAGAGAGAGGGAGAAACATTAACATGAGATAGAAACATCAATCAGTTGCCTATCGTGTGTGTCCTGACTGGGGAGCAAACCTGCATCCTTTCAGTTTACAGGATGACCGCTCCAACCAGCGGAACCGTACCAGCCAGGACCAAATCCTGTGTCTGTTTTTCAGTTGGATTATCTGTCTTATTGTTGAGTTCTTAATATATAAGAACTCTTAGCCCTGGCTGGTATAGCTCAGTGGATTGAGCACGGGCTGCGAACGAAAGTGTCGCAGGTTCGATTCCCAGTCAGGGTACATCCCTGGGTTGCAGGCCATGACCCCCAGCAACCGCACATTGATGTTTCTCTCTCTCTCTTTCTCCCTCCCTTCCCTCTCTAAAAATAAATAAATAAAATCTTTTTAAAAAAACTCTTATATATAATATATATGTTATCATATATATTATCACGAGATTGGGTGCATTCAGAGTGGTATGGCCGTAAACTGAGTTCATACATTCTGGATAACAGTCCCTTCTTTTGTTTCTTGTGCTTTTGGCATTGTATCTAAGAAGGCTTTGCCTAACCCAAAGTCATGAAGATTTATTCCTATGATTTCTTCCAAGAGTTTTATAGTTTTCAGCTCTTACATGTCTGTGATACATTTTTAGTTAATGTTTGTGTATGGTGTAAGGAGGGAGTCCAACCTCATTTTTCCGTATGTAGATACTAGTTATTCCAACACTATTTGTTGAAAAAAACTTCCTTCCCCATTGAATAGTCTTTGTATCCTGTTGAAAATCAGTTGACCATAATATATGGATTTATTTCTGGACACTTAATTCTATTCCAGTGATGTATATGTTTATCCTTATGCCAATACCAAGCAGTCTTGATTACTGTAGATTTATGGTAACTTGAAATCTAGAAGTGTGGGTCCAACTCTGTTCTTTTTAAAGATTGTTTTAAGCATGTAGTCCCCTTGAAATTCCATATGAATTTTAGCATCAGCTTGTCAGTGTCTGCAAAATAGCCAGCTAGGATTTTGATACAGATTGTGTTGAATCTGTAGATCAATTTAATGAATATTGCTGTCTTATCAATATCAAATCTTCTGATCCATGAACATGAGTTGTCTTTCCATCTAGTTATATCTTTATGTTTTAATTAAAATTTTAAAAAATGTATTGATTTTTAAAGAGAGAGGAAGAGAGATAGAGACCCATCAATTTTGTTCTATTTATTTATACATTTATTTGTTGATTTTTTTTAACGTATGCTAGACACTATGCTGCCTCATTTTTTTTTAAGATTTTATTTATTTACTTTTAGAGAGGGGGGAAGGGAGTGAGAAAGAGAGGGAAAGAGACATCAGAGTGTGAGAGATACATCAATTGGTTGCCTCTCACACTCCCCCAGCTGAGGATCTGGCCTGCAACCCAGGCATGTGCCCCGAATGGAAATCGAACCGGTGACCTTTCAGTTCATAGGCCAGCACTCAATCCACTGAGCCACACCAGCCAGGGCTCATTGGTTGATTCTTGTCTGTGTCCTGACCAAGAGTCCTCCACAATCTTGGTAAATAGGGATGACGTTCTAACTAACTGAGCTACCTGGCCAGGGCCTAGTTATATCTTCTCTCATTTCTTTCAACAGTGTTTTATAGATTTCAGGATACAAGTTATGTACTCTTTTTAAAGATCAGTAGACTTTATTTTTTAGAGCAGTTTTAGGTTTACAGAAAAATTGTGCAGAAAGCACAGAGAGTTCCCATATACTGCCTCCACCCCTCATTCAATTGTCCCTGTTTTTTCAAACTCACTATTTTATTTTGCTATTCAATAGAGCATTTTGAAGATTTTATAGAAAGGGAGAGAAACATTGATGTATGAGAGATACATTAATCAGCTGCTCTTGCATGCCCCCATCTGGGGACCTGGCCTGCCCAGGCATGTGCCCTGACTGGGAATTGATCCAACAACCTTTTGGTTCACAGACTGGCACTCAATCCACTGAGCCACCACACTAGCCAGGGCAATTGTGCCTATTATTAACATCTTGCATTAGTGTGGTATATTTGTTATGAATTAATCCATTATTGATAAATTATTATTAATTAAAGTTCATAGTTTACATTAGGGTTTACTCTAATGTATTTTACATTTCTATGGATTTTGACAAATGAATGTCATGCATTTATTATTACAGTATCCTACAGAATATTTTCACTGACCTAAAAATTCCCTCTACCTTATTTATTTATCCATCCCTCTACTGAATTCCTAGCAACCAGTAATCTTTATGTTGTCTTTATAGTTTTGCCTTTTAAAAAAATTATTCTGAAGTATTTTATTCTTTTTGATGCTATTAATAAACAGAATTATTTCCTTAATGTTGTTTTCAGATTGTTCATCAAAGGTATATGAAATACTATTGATTTTTATATATTACTCGTTTGCTGAACTTATTTATTAGTAATAATTTTTAAGTGGATTCTTAGGATTTTCTATATATAAGATTAAGTCATTTGCAAAAGAGATCACTTTACTTGTTTCCTTTCCCATCTTGTTGCCTTTTATTTATTTTTCTTGCCTCATTGCCTTGGCTAGAACTTCTAGTACAATGTGTAGCAAGAATGGACATTCTTATATTGTTCCTGATCTTAACTGGGGAAGCATTCTATCTTTTATCATTAAATATGATGTTCTTTATCAGGTTAAGCAAGTTGAGGAAGCCTTTTAAGTATGTAGATGCTTAGACCCTACCATTGAAGGCTCTGAGTTAGTGGACCTGGGGTAAGGACCAAGTATCTTTAGTTGTAAGAAGGTATATAAGAAAATAAAAGGTATATAAGTCATTCTGATCCATAGCCAGGATTCATCTAACACCTGTCCTATCTTGACTGAGGTACTTTATGCTTCATTCTTTTCAACCTATATTATCTCTCTCTTATTCAGCTGAGAACATTGAACTTCATACCATCAGTTCCCTAAATGCTGTATTCCTAATTCTAATTCTTTTGAGTGCTAAAATGTGGGAAATGGGCTGTATTACATATGGGTTTGATTAAGAAATTGTATTATGATATTTTTCTCCTGTAAGGAATATAAGTTACTTGATGACTCTAACTTATGGTTAATTTCCTTCCTCGTCATAACAAAGTAGTACTTAGAACATAACTGTCAATGACTCACGTAAATTATTTTTCGTCTCTTTTCTCAACCTTATTTGTTTTTGTTTTTTTAATCAATCATATATAGTCTTGCTGCTAACGTTGTCCCTGTGTTATCAAAACATGTTTCTGAAAAACAGTTTATTTGGCCTGTATTGTGAATAATAATTATTTTGCTTCTTTTAGGACACCATGCAAAATTGAACCCAGTATAAACCATATTCTAAGCACAAGAAAGCCTGGAAAGGAAGAAGGTGATCTCCTGCAAAGAGTTCAAAGCCATCAGCAAGTATCTGAGGAGAAGAAAGAGAAGATGATGTACTGCAAGGAGAAGATTTATGCAGGAGTGGGAGAGTTCTCCTTCGAAGAGATCCGGGCTGAAGTTTTCCGGAAGAAATTAAAAGAGAAAAGGGAAGGTATGAGTATTGATCTAGTTCAAATTTGTCAAAATAACTTAGTTGTAGGAAGGTTGAGTTAATATTAAGTCTGAGGAAATTGCCCCATATTTATGTGATGCTTCTATGGTTTCTACTATTTCTTTCTCTCTATTTAAGCTGAATTCCCATTGCTGCTTTCCATGGAGACCCATGGGTAGAAAAACTAAGCAACTCAGTCTGTTCAAAAAGGAGAAGAAGCTCTGAACTACAGGAAGAATTCATCTTCACTGATGCAATAGACAGACGGCTGTGACCCCTGACATGCACACATGCACATGCCATGCCTCCCCATTAAGTACTTCCCTCAGGTTGCCTGACATATTTCACTCGACTTTTGATACTCTACCCGGAATTTCTCCCAGGGCTTATTTAGGTTAACATACCCAGTCACGCTTCAGTCACTTAGATGATACTTATTTGTATCGTTTTATTAAAGACATTATCTTCTTTCTAATTTAAGGGAAGTTTCACTGTAAATTGAGAAATTTAGAATTTAGGGAAAATGGGAAGCCATTCTGTTCTGGAGCCTGGGGTACTTGGGTGAGGTGGTACAGAATGGGCTGAAAACTACTGAAGTATAGTATTTGGAGCTTAAGGCATTAGAAGATGAGGGACAGGACAATACAGGAAAAGAGGTGTGGGGCAGGGTCCAAAAATAAGTTTAATCCATTTAGATATTTTAACTATAATCTATACTGAGAAAGAAGAAAGAAATATTTCTACACATATATCAAGAATAACTTACTAACATAACTCAGCTCACTTAACAGGATGTGGTAAACAGAGTCTGTCCAGAAGGTATCCAGCTATGTAATATGAAAATAGAGACATTTATTAAAGAAGATACAAGAAACATTGTACATAGGACAATGACACCTCTGTCCCCTTCAAAGCAGGCACCTTGGTACCTCACACAGTTCTCCCAGTCACCATCAGCTACCCTGTTGTATTTTTCTGAATTTCATCAATGGTCTGAAATCTCTTCCTTTCAAAGGTGATTTTAGTTTCAGGAAAAGCCAGAAGTCTTAGGGCACCAAATCTGGGCTGTAGAGGGGCTGAGTCACCTTGGTGATTTGATGTTTCACTAAAAAACTCTGAACCAGACATGATACATGAGTGGGCACTTTGTCATGATAAAGTTGCCCTTCACCCATTGCCCATAGCTGTGGCCTTCTGAATCATCTGAATAAAAAAGTTCAAGTTTAACACAAAATTTGATGTAGGTTTGTTGCTCTACTCGCTCAGTCATTTTGAATGCAATAGCCCCACAATACACATGCTCACTCAACGACATCTACCACACGAAGTGATGAATACAGTGAAGTTGTCATTGTTCACGCATGAGCATTCCAGTCCACTCTCCTTGTCTGCCAGGTTACATCGATGTTGCACAAACCATTCTCATTATATTAACAATGGCTGGACTTTTTCCTGACAGACCTCATATGTAATGGCAAGCTAGGAAACTTAACCATTACTTATAATTTAAGGAAGAATCATTTCTGAGCTCCAAGTGACAGGTTAGAAGCAAGCTTCTATAAAGCAGACTTATTAGTAAGTTTGGCATTGCCTTCATTCATTGTATCAATTAGTGTCTTCCAAGACTGACAAAGGTGCTCTAGGCTCAAATAATGTATTGAAAAATGGAACCTATGTATCTAGGTAGGAGAGGAGTAATGGTTAGGAAGCAACGAAATAGTTGAGCAAGGCTTTTAAAAGATAGGAACTACCCAGGGCCCTGGCTGGATAGCTGAGTAGGTTCAAGTGTCATCCCCATGTGCCAAGGTTGCAGGTTGAACCTCTAGTCAAGGCCCATATAAGGATCAAGCAATGAACACATAAATAAGTGGAACAACATGTCAATGTCTTTCTCAGTCTGTCTCTCTCTGTCCTTCCCTCTCCCCCCATCCCTTTGTCTTTCTTTCTCTAAATTCAATAAATAAAAAAAAATTAAAAATGGAAACCACCATAACAAAGAAGTAGGCTGGGAGGGTAGGCAAATAGGAGCTGGGAAAGGAACTAGGTGCTTAGATAAAAAACTAGTGTTTCTGAGCCCTGACTGGCGTAGCTCAGTAGATTGAGCGCGGGCTGCGAACCAAAGTGTCGCAGGTTCAATTCCCAGTCAGGGCACATGCCTGGGTTGCAGGCCATGGCCCCCAGCGACTGCACATTGATGTTTTTCTCTCTCTCTCTTTCTCCCTCCCTCCCCTCTCTAAAAAAATAAATAAATAAAATCTTTAAAAAAAACAAATTAGTGTTTCCTTCAACCTGAGTGTTTATCAATAGATGAATGGATAAAGAAAATGGAATATAGAAGTGGATAAAGAAAAGGAACAAAAAAGAATGAAATCTTGCCATTTGTAATAACATGGATGGACTTTGAGGGCATTATGCTAAGTGAAATAAGACAGAAAGACAAATTCTGTATGATCTCACATGTGGAATCTTAAAACAAGCAAACTTGCATACAGGGAACAGTTCGGTTGTCAGAAGTGGGGGATGGAAGAAAGTGGGCGAAATGAGTTGAAAGGAGTCAGAAGATATGAACTTCTATTTCTACAGTAAGTCACAGGGATGTAATGAACAGCATGGCAACTATAGTTAATGCTGTGTTGCATATTTGAAAGTTGCTGAGAGAGTAAATCTTGAAAGCTTTTATCACAAGAAAAGAAATTTTTTGCAACTGTATATGGTGACAGATGGTACCTAGATTTATTGTGGTGATCATTTTGCAATATATACAAATATAGAATAATTATGTTGTATACCTGAAACTAACATTGTGTGGCAATTATACTTCAAAATTTTAAATAAATAAAACAGCATTTTAAAAAAAAGAAAACTTTTCTTAAGGGAAAGATCTAGCTTACATCAGGCATATAGTTGTAAGATGATAGTACATTTTATTCTCAGCAAGCCAGAAAAGGACCTATGTTAGGGTTAGATGGGATTTGAATAGGTAAAAAGACCTCTTTGGATTTTTTAATTCTACTTCCTAAGCTGGTCTCTGAATCTAGTTCATGAACATGTAATTTCCCTGCTGTGTATAGTTTGCATTCTTATAAATCCTCATGCCTATAATAAAGTGGTTTCTGGTCACTGTTAGAAACTGGCCTCAAAGACTACCACTGACTGCTCACCGTCAGGTAGGAATACTGGAAGTGAGGGGGCCATGGGCAGGGCCTGGAGAGAAACAAGGTTATTTTTCTTTCTTTCCATTGCTACTTCCAAATCATCTTTTTCTCCTCCTTCAAAACCTCTCATTTCTTTCACATTTGTGTCCTTTTTTTGTTTGTTTGTTTGTTTGTTTGTTTTTTAAAACCTACTTCCTGAGCCTCCTTAGTCTTCTCACCTCAGACTTTTTGATCACTCCCCATTATTCATTAATTGACTAAGCACCTAGCTCTGTATCTTCCCAGTGCTATGGCTTCTCAGTTTTATGGTCAGCATACCTCCTGTGATCTCTTCCTCAGCCCTGCTCACTGCCTCCTCCCTGGTCTTACTGTTGACCTTATCACTCAGGAACTCTTTTGAAGTTTCTTTTCTTTGACTACTACCTTCTCCTCTAGCTTACTTGCTTTAGGACTCTGCTTTTGGAATTCATTTTTTTTTTAAGATTTTATTTATTTATTTTTAGAGAGGAAAGGGAGGGAGATAGAGAGAGAGAGAAACATCAATGTGCGGTTGCTGGGGGTTATAGCCTGCAACCCAGGCATGTACCTTGGCTGGGAATTGAACCTGCGACACTTTGGTTCGCAGCCCGCGCTCAATCCACCGAGCTACACCAGCCAGGGCTTGGAATTCTTTAGCCTTATTGAGATTGCTAATCCATCCCTACCAATTTTATTTTGTACTGTTTATTATCATCCTTATGTCCTGATTTCCTTTCTTCTCAGCTCAGAGTCAGTGATTCATCATTATGATCACTTCCTTGTAAATACCCTTCGCCTGTTTAACTTTCTATCTCTATATTGTATTTGCCTGGCAAAACCTCAACCCTGGTTAAATTAACCTGTCTGCTCACAGTTTGTCTCTGCATCCAAGCAGTTTAAAAATAGCTGGAGAAAAATGCAACTATGTGTACAAGTCTTTAAATTCATGACCACAGGTCTCAAATTGGTATTCCCCAGTGCTTAGCAGTCTTACTGCAGTTTCCTGGTAGGTGAATTTCTGCTAAACAACTAATTTAATATTTTTCATATTTTCAAATCTTCAATATTGCTGATCTTCCTTAGCTATGATCTTGCATCATACTTCACTGGGAAAGTGAAAGGAATATAATGGTAACTCCATTTTCTTCTACCGCATCTACCATATCCCATAATTCATATCTGTGCACCTTAACATTCTTTCTGTTAAAACTAATATTTTTCTCTTCCTATCGGAGGAGTAGCTCTTTTTTCCTCCCAGTGCTTTTTTCTAAATCATTCTCACCATTAAAACAAAGATACTTTTAATGTTTCCAGTTCTTTTTATTTTTTAAATTTCCTCAATTATCCTTATTCTTCTCCAGCTACTACTACCCATTTTTCTCCCTTCACAGCAAAATTTCTTGGGAGTTGTAATCATCTCCACTGCCTATTATTTCCTCAAGCACCCCTCTGTTCTGGTGAAGTAGTCTGATCATGGCCACCAGAAAACTCCTTTCAGCCAAACCCACTGGCTTTTACTGTCCTGATTTTGGCCTCATTAGGCAGTTGATGAAAACTTCTTTATGAAATCCTTCTCTTGGCTTCTTTGTTGATGTGTATTACTTCTCAATTTCCTTTATTGCTGTTCTTATTTAGGACCTCTTCCTGAGGCCCAGGATAAAGTTCTGGAATATTCCAATTTTCTTTCTACAGCTATCTCTAGGCAATGAACTAAATACTGTTTATAAGCTATAGACTCCCAAATTTATCTGCCCAGCCCTGTCATTTCACCTGAACTCCAGACTTCTATCTATTGTTGATACTAATAAAAATTTTAAACTCAACATAGCCAAAACTGAATTACTGATTTCTGTCACAAACCACACCCCAGCACACACACGTACCAGCAGTTCCCCATTTCAATGAAAGGTATCACTGTGCATCCTGGTTATTTAAGCAAAAAAATCCAGAAGCCATTTTTGATCACTATTTTCTTACTATTTCCCACAACTAGTGAATAAGCCCATTAATTTTACCATCCCCAAATTTCCAAATCTTTCATTTATCCCATTCCCATTATTACCTTAATCCAAAGCACAATCTTTTATCTAGACTATTGTATCTGGACTTTCAACACCCTTTCTTACCACAGTCTGTTTTGCTCACAGTAAGTGATCTTTTTTAAATATCAGATCATGTTACTTCTTTACTCAAAATTCCCCAGTGTTTTTCATTGTCTAGAATGTAATATAACTCTTTACCCCCACGTGACTTGGCCTCTGCCTACTTCTCCAACCTCATCTTTTACTTTCCTCCCTCTTACTGTGCTTCATCACTCCACGCCGGCCTTCACTGGAACACAGTGTGATCCCTGAACACCGCAATCTTGTTCCTGAATCAGGGCCTTTGTGCCAGCTCATCCCTTCACCAATTATCTTTCCCTGGATCCATATGGGACTAGCCTCTAGTCATTCAGATTATAGCTATATAAAGTTTCTTTCTTAAATGATCTTCTCTTATCACTGGTCTTAAATAGCCCCTGACCCCCATCTCCCAACCCAGTCATACATTCTCATATCACCTGTTTTACTTTATTTTTAACATTGCTTTTTCTTGTTACTGTATATGTGTGTATGTTTGCCTCCCCCAAATTGAATGTTAACATCGCATGACCAAGGACTTTGTATTATGCACCACCGAAACCTAAATGCTCAGAGTTGTGCTTGGCATGTGGTACATACTCTATTTTTTTATTGACTGAATAAATAAGAGACCTCAGTTTGAGAGTTCTGGACCACTTATATCATTCTTATCTGTAATATGAACATATATGCTGAGGATAGGAGCCCCAGAGATGGTTTTTGACAGAATGAACTGCTATAAGAAGTAAATGCCTCAGCCAACTTTATCGTTTCTAGCTGAGCTACTGACCAGTGCAGAGAAGAGAGCAGAAATGCAGAAGCAAATTGAAGAGATGGAGAAGAAACTAAAACAAATTCAAACTACTCAGCAAGGAAGAACGGTTGATCAGGTTACTCCTCTTTTTTAATACATAAGATTCTAAAGCTTATTGAAACAAATTTAAGAAATGTAAAAGAATAGAAAAAGTCCTTTCCTCCACCATTTTGAGTTTTCTTTAGTTTCTTATCTATTAATTAATAGCAGCAAAATTGAGCAAGAAAGTAATTTAACAGGTGACTTCAAATGGAATTTATGGTATGTGATATAATTTATTGACTTCTTAGTTATATTCTAAACCATTGTTTTGTTACCTGTAACTTTAGCTCTTTAGTCATTTTCCATTAAAATGGGGTTAACTAAGGAAATTCCATGTATGGTTGGCACTGCTCAGTTGATTACAACAGTTCCAGTTTATACTAGGAACATAAATTATTGGAAGGAACTTTTGGGGAACAGACATTTTATCTTGTTAGTAGGTATCCAGGGGGATAGTATGAAAAAGCTAATTTTGGAACTAAAGATTGAAGATAGGTAACATTTTCTAGACGGGGATAAATTGATTTTGTTTATTTAATGCACACAGCAGGAAGAAAAGATGCCTACAAAGGAGAGAGCTGATGTGCGGATTGCTTCTGAGCCTCAGGAAATACCAGGAATGACTCTGTCCAATTCTGTTTGTCCAGTAAATTTTTGTGCCAGGTAGGACCACATTAATGGAAAGAATGATGCTTCTGGGAGGGCATTTAGAACCAACCTTAGACTCTCTAGTGGTTTGAAGTCTCCTTGACTTCTGTAGTATTAAGACATGATTTTTGCAGGTCTCTGTCACAACGTAAACTGTGATGTTGATGAGGCAGGCTAGGGTACTGACTTTTTTCCATTAAAAAAATACATGTTTTTTAATAGAAACAATCAAATAGCCATAATTCTTTAAAAGGCAAAACCAGCCCTGGATGGGGTGGCTCAGTGGGTTGGGTGTCTTCCCATAAGCCGAGGGGTCACCGGTTCAATTCCTAATTAGGGCATTTGCCTGGGTTGTGGGCCAGGTCCCCAGTAGGGGGTGTTTGAGAGGCAACCACATGTTGATGTTTCTCTCCTTTCTCTCTCCCTTCCCCTCTCTAAAAGTAAATCAATAAAATAAATAAATAAAGTAAATTTAAAAAGGCAAAACCATTTATGTCTACCACCAAGAGATGAGTGCTGTTAACTTGGTATATCTCTCCTTATGTGTTCTATTCTTGCTTTGTTATATAAAAGTGAGAGTTTGCCATTTTGTAATCTACTTTAATCTACTTATACTGTTAATGTAACTTAACATCTACTATCTAACATATTTCTACAACAATTTTAATGACTAAAGGTTCCATTTTATTAAAGAATTTGAATTTACAATACTAGAATATTTTCTCTTTTTAAGGGTTTTTTTTTAAAGATTTTTTAAATTTATTTATAGAGAGGGAAGGGAAGGAGAGAGAGAGAAAGAGAGAGAGAGAGAGAGAGAGAGAGAGAGAGAGAGAGAGAGAGAGAGAGAGAGAGAAAGAGAAAGAGAAAGAGAGAGAGAGAGAAACATCAATGTGCGGTTGCTAGGGGTCATGGCCTGCAACCCATGCATGTACCCTGACTGGGAATCGAACCTGCGACACTTTGGTTCACAGCCCGCGCTCAATCCACTGAGCTATGCCAGCCAGGGCTTAGAATATTTTCTTTATCTCAGAGTGAAGATTATATTTAATAAAAAGCCTCTTAAACTTTTAAGAATTAAATAATTCTGTGGGTACTAAGCATATATTTTAAAACAAGTTTCTTTACAGGGAAACTTCATTTGCAGAAAACGTTTGTCAAGAACAACCTCACGCTAAAGGTGAGTTGTATTTTACAATGTCATGAAGAACTTGCTGATAACCCATGCATTATGTAACATGTGGTAAATATATTTCTAATTACTGTAAAGGGGGTTGAAAGAAGGCAGAGAGGGGACTAAGGTTCTTACTGTATCTTTAAATCATGGAATTCAGTTATAAGCATGTGATTCAAGATAAGATAGACATTTGAAAGACTTTTTGTAAGATTCCTCAGGGTTTTGAAATAATTGGTTTAAATGTAAATTTAAATTTATGCTGACTACCAAATAATCTTCCACTTTAGTTAGTGTACACTAAGCTAAGCATATCTATAGTATCCAGCAGCTAAGACTGGAAAGTGGTTTTTGGAACAAAGAAAAAAAGCTTAAAAATAAGATTATTTTATATTCAAATTTGTTCTCTTTCGTTTAGTAACATGTTAAAGTGATAACATGAATATCCACTATAAGTAGTTTTAAAAAAACACATTGAACTGAATCTGATTAAACCTCTAATTCCAACCACCAAATTATAGGAAACAAAATCATGGAGGAACAGGTTAAACAACACAGATGGGTGTGGTTGGCAAAAAAAAAAATTAGCATTATGGGGCAAACAACCCAGTTTCTTCAACAAAAAATTATTTTAAAAGAATTCAATGGAATAAAAGCTATATCAGAGACATTTTTATCAGCACAGTACATGAATTTTACTCTCCATCCCCAGTTCAAACTTTCTAAAAATTTATGGTAAAATGGGAATTTGGCTGCCTGGATATTGGATATTCAGAAATTGTTAATCCTATAGGTATGATCACGTTTTGAGATTATGCTTTTTTAAAGAACCTCTCTATAGCAATATATACTGAAGTATTTATAGATGAAATTATAGTGTCTTGGATTTGCATCAAAATAATCTGGAGTTGGGCTGTGTTTCAAGAGTAGTGGTGATGGGGAATAAAGACACGCAAGATCCTCCATGGTTAGATAATTATCATTAAATGGCCTTTACCTTTATACATTTGCAATTATTCATTATAAAAAGCAAACAAATTGCCTTTCTGCTTTCAAACAATACAAAATATTAATTGACCTAGTTGTCTTGAATAGAGCATTTACTCTTAAGAGTATAAATCTAGTCTTTTTTTCTGTAGGTTCCAGTATACCTTTCTCCATTTTTGATGAGTTTCTTTCAGAAAAAAAGAATATCAGGTTTGAATTTTTTGTTTTGTTTTGAACCTGAAAGTTTTCTGTTTTTGCAAATGAGAGATTACTGTTATTTATGTCAATAGAAGAAAATTTGCTAAATGGAATGTGTCTTTTTCCAGTCCTCCTGCAGATCCCTCACGGGTTTTAGTCCAACGAAGACCCCTTGCAGTCCTCAAAACTTCAGACAGCATCACCTCAAGTGAGGATGTATCTCCAGATGTTTGTGTAAGGAGGAACAGTATTCCTAAGTTAATATAATAGACTAGTGGATTGTTTCATTCGATTCTCAAAATAGTTTAGGGTTCAAATGAACATTATTGACTTGAAATAAGCACATGAAAAGATGCTCGACACCATTAGTCATCAGACTAATGCAAATCAAAACTACAGGAGATACTACTTCACAGACATTAGGATGGCTGTAATCAAAAAGACAGAAAATAACAAGTGTTGGTGAGGATATTGAGAAATTAGTACCCTTATGTACTGCTGGTAGGAATATAAAATGATGCAGACACTTTGGAGAACAGTTTGGCAGTTCTTCAAAATGTTAAACATAGAGGAACCATATAACGAGAAAATTCCTCCTAGATTTATATCCAAGAGAATTAAAAACATATGTTCACACAAAAAAACGTGTACATGAATATTCATAGCATTATTCATAATAACCAAAGAGTGGGAACAATCCAATCTCTATCAACTGGTACATGGTTGAGTAAAATGTTATATATCCATACAGTGAAATATTACTCAGGCGTAAAATTGAAAGAGATACTGATACATCTTACCACTTGGATGAACCTTGGAAACACTGCTAAGAGAATGAAGCTAAGCACCAAAGACCACATGGTATATGGTTCCATTTTCAGGAAATGTCCAGAAAAGGCAAATCCATAAAAATGGAAACTAGATTAGGGATTTTCAGGAGGTTAGAGATTGTAAGAGTTAGAGACTGACTGCTAATGGGTGTGGATTTTTTTTTGGGGGGGGGCACTACATTCTGGAGTTGGATAGTGGTGGTGATTGCACAACCTTGTGAGTGTGCTAAAAACCACTGAAACGTTCACTTTCAAAAGGCGAATTTTTTGAAAGTTTGAATTATATAATTATATCTCAAAATTTTTTAAGGTTTTATTTCTGTTTACAGATAGGGGAAGGGAGGGAGAAACACAGGCAGAGAAACACCAGTATGTGAGAGATACATCAATAGGTTGCCTCCTGCAGGACCAGGGACCTGGCCTGCAACCCAGGCCTGTGCCCTGACTGGGAATCCAACCGGTGACCCTTCAGTTTGCAGGCCAGCACTCAATCCACTGAGCACCACCAGCCAGGGCTTTCAATTTTTTAAGTGGGGAAAAAAATCACTGTCTTAAAAGTCTTTAGCACTTTTTCTTTTTAAACTAACATAACAAAGAATCATTGTTCTTTTTACATAAGATGTTTTTTGTGGCAGTGGAAGAGTAATGTGGACCAGCCATTTGACTTTAGTAATGTTCTGTTGAAAAATTTTTTTTAAGATTTTACTTATTTATTTTTAGAGAGAGGGGAAGGGAGGGAGAAAGAGGAAGAGAAACATTAATATGTGAGAGAAATATCGATCAGTTGCCTCTTGCAGATGCCCAACCAGGGATGGCCCGCAACCCAGGCATGTGCCATGACCGGGAATCGAACCAATGACCCTTTGGTTCAAAGTCCACTTAGTCAATCCATTGAGCCACACCAGCCAGGGCAATGTTCTATTTTAACCACTGTGGACAAATGACATAATAATTCTTAGGGTAAAAAGGCCTCGCATAGCAATTCAAGTCTTGAAGTTTTAAGGAAGAAGTTATCATTCTCTTTAAGCCAGCATCTGGAAATCTGTTGTGAGGTTGAAGAACATGAAATACAAGGTCTGTCCAGAAGATATCCAGCCATGTAATATGAAAATAGAGACATTTATTAAAGAAGATATAAGAAACACTGTACATAGGACAATGACACCTTGGGACTTCACACAGTTCTCCCAATTGCTATCAGCTGCCCTGTCATATTTTCCTGAATCTCATCAACAGTCTGAAATATCTTCCCTTTCAAAGGTGATTTTAGTTTTAGGAAAAGCCAGAAGTCTCAGCACCAAATCTGGGCTGTAGGGGGGCTGAGTCATCTGGGTGATTTGATGTTTCACCAAAAACTCTGCACAAGACATGATGCATGAGTGGGCATGTTATTTTGATAAAGCTGCTAATCACCAGTTGCCCATAGCTGTGGCCTTCTGAATCATCAGAATAGTTTCCTTGGAGGAATGTTCAAACTTAATGCAAAATTGATGCAGATTCATTGCACTCACTTAGTTGTTTTGAATGGAAACAGCCACACAACGCACATGCTCACTCAACGGTGTGTACCTTCCCCACTGACTAGTACAGTGAAGTCATCATTGTTCATGCATGCACATTCCAGTCCATTCTCCTTGGCTGCCATGTTACATCAATGTTGCACAAACCATTCTCATTATATTAACAATGGCTGGACTTTTTCCAGACAGACCTGTTTTACATCCGGTAGACTACAAATTTAATTGCCCGGCTACATGAGACTTTACGCGTGTGAATATCCATGCAATCTCCACCTAGATCAAGATTAGAAAATTTTCAGTAACCAGAAGAACCTAGGGAGCCAACTATAGGTGTTCAGGCCACATTCTAGCTATATTGAATTATAATGTCTAGGGGTGATATCCAAGCATTTATTTTTTGAAAAATAATTTTTATTAAATTTATTGGGGTGACAATACAAGCATGTATTGTTGTTTTAAATACTTTACCAGATAATTCTGCTAGTCCACTGACTTTTGAGAAGATAATGTCGAAGGGTAATTAATTATATACTGTATTCTTGAGAATACCACCAGAAAACATAATGATAGTCTAGATTTTGAGGTAGTAGTTCTATGTTCAGGTGTTCAAAAATGGGTTGAATTATTAAAAGAGTCAATCTTAATTTAGTTTTTTGGTTTTAAACATTTTACTTAAATTTTGTTAATAGGTACTTATCAGAATTTTTCCCCCTAAAAAAATCATATTTCAAATGGCTAAAGTGCCATAAGTAGTATTTGCATAAAATGTATTCCTAGACAATAGATATCTATTTTACTTTAATTTTATAATTTTTAGCCACATTTATTATTTCTTCTAGATATACCTCTTACCTCTACTTACTAATGTTGTCAGATTTAAAGTATATGTCAAATCAATAATCTAGAAAATTAATATCTAGTATGCATAAGGGTTAAAAGAAATAGGCACTTTTGTATACAACACGTAAATGTTTAAAGAGGTACAGTCACCCTGAGGGCAACCAGGCAGTATGTATAAAGAACCTTAGCATTCACAACCTTTTTTTTTTTTTAAGATTTTATTTGTTTTTTAGAGAATGGTAGGGAGAGAGAAAAAGAGGGAGAGAAACATCAATGTGTGGTTGCCTCTTGTGCCCCACCCCCTTACTGGTGACCTGGCTCAAAACTCAGGCATGTGTCCTGACTGGGAAACGAACCAGCAACCTTTTGATTTATAGGCCGGCACTCAACCACTTAGCCACACCATCCAGGGCAGCATTCATAACCTTTTGACCTGATAATTCTACTTGTAGGAATTATTCTTAAGAAATTAAGCCCTGGCTGGCGTAGCTCGGTGGATTGAGCGCGGCTGTGAACCAAAGTGTCGCAGGTTCGATTCCCCGCCAGGGCACATGTCTGGGTTGCAGGCCATAACCCCCAGCAACCGCACATTGATGTTTCTCTCTCTCTCTTTCTATCTCCCTCCCTCCCCTCTCTGGAAATAAATAAATAAAATATTAAAAAAAAAAGAAATTAAGGGATAATTTCCTTAATTTCTTAATTTCCTTAATTCCTGAGATATTCTCAAAGATGTAAATGTACAAAGATATTTAAAATAAAAAATGGAATGACCTAAAAAAGTTAGTTGGCTTCTGATACATCCTTAGTGTGACCATATTGTTTTTAAAGAATTTTTAATAGCACAGAAAAATATGCTAAAAATATGAGAAAGAATAATACATACAGTTGACCCTAGAACGACATGGGTTTGAACTGCATGGGTCCATTTATACGTGGACTTCTTTTCAATGTACTGTGGCCCTTCCACTTCCCCAGGTTTCACATCCACGATTCAACCAACCGAACAGTAATTTTCATCTGTGGTTGAGAATCTGCAGATTGGGAGGGCCAAGTGTGTGCATTGTTCTGTGCCATTTTACATAAGGGATTTGAGCTTCCAGCAGGGGACTCCTGGATCAAATCCCGCACAATACTAGAGGACAACTTGTAAGTTAAGTTTTGGGGGAGTCAAAAGTTATCCAAGGATTTTCAACTGTGCAGGGGGAGGAAATTGGCTCCCTAAACCCTGAGTTGTTCAAAGGTCAACTGTAGTAGCGTATATTGCATTTGTTTTAAGATACCTTTTTTAATGCATAGAATATGCTTGTTCATGTATCATACCAGATATGTATATATGGCAACAGTAGTTGCCTCTAGGAGTGATAATTAAAGGGGAGATGAGGGGTCAAGTGCAAGAGGGAGAGTTTTTCACTATATGTCCTTTTAAATTAGTTGATTTCTTTAAACCATGTATGTGTATTACTTTTACTTTTTAAATTTTCATTGATTGATTTTAGAGAGAGGGAAGCAGGGAGGGAGAGAGAAAAAAACATGGATTTGTTGTTCCACTTATTCATGCACTCATTGGCTGACTCTTACATGCGCTCTGACCAGGGTTGAACTTGCCACAATGGCGTATCAGGGTGATGCTCTAACCAACTGAGCTACCTGGTCAGGGCTGTATGTATTATCGCTTTTTAAGACAAAGGCATATTTTAAATTTTTTTACACTTTATATTTTGTTTTACATATTTTCTACCATGATTGTGAATTACCTTTAAGAAATGAAATAAAGCTCTGGCTGGTGTGGCTGAGTGCTGGCCTGTGAACCAGAGGGTTGCCGATTTGATTCCCAGTTAGGGCACGTGCCTGGGTTGTGAGCCAGGTCCCCAAGTTGGGGGCGCGTGAGAGGAAACCACACATTGATGTTTCTCTCCCTTTCTTTTTTTTTTTTTTTTAATATTTTATTTATTTATTTTTAGAGAGGGAAGGGAGGAAGATAGAGAGAGAGAGAGAGAGAGAGAGAGAACATCAATGTGCGGTTGCTGGGGGTTATGGCCTGCAACCCAGGCATGTACCCTGGCTGGAAATCGAACCTGGGACACTTTGGTTCCCAGCCCGCGCTCAATCCACTGAGCTACGCCAGCCCGGGCTTCTCTCCCTTTCTTTCTCCTACCCTTTCTCTAAAGATAAATAAATAAGATCTTTCTTTAAAAAAAGAAATGAAATAAAAATTAAATATTTGGTATAGAAGATGACTTAAAAGGTAGGAGGATAGCAGATTATCAGAATGTTTTCTAGGCCAAAACAAGATGAAAAATATTAGTCCTCTAGTTCTTAAATGAAATTGTTGTGAAAAAGACATTGTTCAGTATTTTTCCTTTGTGTAGAGAATCTTCACAATGTAATTTTGATGAAATGTAGTTTTGCTGCTTTCATGATACAAAACCTTGTTCCTCAACTATTATGATAATGCTTTTAAAAATTGTATCTCCTTAGAGATTCTGATATGCTTCTTCTGTACCCTGTTTTAAAAATCACTTAGTTAACATATGTCTCTAAGTAAAAAAGATAGGGCATCCACATTCTTATCAAAATATTGCAGCTAAATTTTACATGGTTTTAATTTCAGGATGAATTAACAGGAATTGAGCCCTTGAGTGAGGATGCTATTATCACAGGTTTCAGGAATGTAACTATTTGTCCTAACCCAGAAGACACTTGTGACTTTGCTCGAGCTGCTCGTTTTGTATCAACTCCTTTTCATGAGATAATACCCTTGAAGGATCCTTCTGATCCAGAGAGACTGTTGCAGGAAGAGGATCTCGATGGGAAGACCTCTGAGGACCAGCCAACTGCTTGTGGCACTGTCTACAATCCAACTCTCAGCACCAAGAAGCTGAGGTGACTGGTGATCATAGGTTGCACAAACCAGATTGTTTAAATGCTCTTACTGCATGTGCTTATCAGTTGTAGCAATTAATTATCAAGCTCTTACTACCTGCCAGGTACTGTGCTAAGTGCTTTACATGACAGTAGGGCTGCCCCAGGTAAAATGTCAATGGAATTTAGTAACTGATTTGAATATGATGGTTAGAAAAGTACATTTTGATGGTTATGGGATTTAGAGACCCAGGAGGATTATGGTGTAGACCTGACTGGGAGAGAAAAGGCATTTATTTTTCCTTTAATATAAATTTAAAATAATGGTAAAATAACTTAATACTATTTTCAATTAGGCAACTACAAAGTATTTTTGGATAAAGAGTTGGAAATGAAGAAAAAGTAGGTATGAAGGAATCGCATAGAGAGCCAGAGACCAAGCCTTATGATATCTAGCCATATTTAAAAGCCAGCTAATTTAAACAAACTTATTCCAGCTTGAGGAATATTCTTAAGTTTGCCAATTTGTGCTTTTAAACTGCATTTTCAAACTCTTTCCAACCAACTTTTTATCACATTTGTTAGCGTGCACTCACCTTGAGTGATGTTGGTGCCCCCTTTCTTTTTTGACCCTTTCTTACTGCAGAGTGCGAGGTTCAGAGAAGGGATAAACAGGAAGAAGGTTAGTGTCTTAGTTTCTTAATAGTTTAGTATAGATGTAGAATTGGCATTTACTATAGATTAGGTAAATAAGTCGTAAGTTGAGAAATTTAATGCTAGGTATTGCTTGTCAACCAGGGTAAATAAAGGTACCTGGATTCTGATTATGAATCTATTTCTGTTATAGGAAAATAATGGCCTTTGAAAATGAGACTGTTAAATATCAAATAAAATTACAACAGGTAAATTGATGGGACTGACTTATTTGTTATTCTCCTAGCCCAATTATTGAAGACAGCGGTGAGGCCACACAGTCCTCTGGGTTGTCTGGATCTTCTGCCTCGGTTATAAGCACCTCCTCTATCAAATGTCTTCAAATTCCCGAGAAACTGGAGCTTACTAATGAAGCCACAGGTGAGTGCCTACGTACCGCTGACTGGCGAGCAGACATCTGCATCCATGTCTGGTGAACACTCATTTATCTCAGCAAACCAAGTATGTTTTTCTTTTCTAGAAAAGTTCCCATAAACTGTGAAATTTCTAAAATGTATTAGTACTAACTGGGCGGAGGCCTGAGATGGATAAGTATTGTTAGGTTATCGGTATTAATCATGTAATCTTGTTTTTATCCCCTCTGTTATAGTACTCCTTTTAGGTTTTCTGGGTGATGTTTTGTCTGTTTTTTTTTTACAACTGCCCCTCCCCCTCCAGAAAACCCCATTCAGTCACCCTGGTGTTCACAGTATCGTAGACAACTACTAAGATCCCAACCAGAGCTGAGTGCTTCTGCGGAGTTTTTTGTAGAAGATAGATCAATGCCTGAATTGGAAGTAGAGAAGGAAATTGAGTTAGGTAAGTACCATTAAATGCATGTCTTTTTGTGTATGACAGCGTACAAAGTGATTATTTGTACTTAAGCTTAACGCTTTTGGCCAATAAATATTTCTAGATTGTAAGAAATAGAATCATAGAAGTTGACACATTGATAAGTTCTTGTCCCAGTAACAATAGGAATTATGTGTTCTTTCAGTGTTTAACAAGTGATTTTGAAAAGTATTCTAGCTGCTACTAACTGGCAAATATGTAGTGCTGTTAGCCCTTGAACCAGGGAGTAGAAGCGAGGGGCCTATACATATTCCAGTGGTTTTTAAATGGAATCAAACCTTCCCAACAGGTAATGAGGATTATTGCATTAAACAAGAATACCTAATATGTGAAGATTACAAATTGTTCTGGGTGACACCAAGGAACTCTGCAGAATTAACCTTAATAAAGGTGGGACTGATTCCTTGTCATTACAGTTACCTTGTCAGTAATGTGTGTTGAAACAATAACTGTGGCTCCACAGTACCATCAGGTCCTTTGAACAGGCTATAAGCTTCTTATAGAAAGTCACTGATGCTTCAAGAAATCACTCATCATTATGTGCCAGGATCAGATATCAGAAATAAGAAGTTATCGTATAGGTTTCTTAATGTGTCCATACATACTAACTATTCCTATAATTTTATCTTTTTGAGGGAATCTGAAATTTTCTGGCTTGCTCGAGTATGGACCAGTTACATTCTAGCCTTCAGTTGCATGCGTGCGCGAGCACGCACACACACACACACACACACACACACACACACACGAGTATTATTTTGAAAATTTCATTCACCGCCAGCCTAGAGATTCACGTTATCTCTCTTATACTGGATGCCTAGTTATATTGGATTCCATTTTTTTCTTCTTTCTTGGTTTAAGCCTTCGTGTTTTAGTAGCTTCCTGAGAAGGGATGCAGGAGATACAAGGTTTTTGAAATCTTTCATCCAGAAAATTCCATGTTCCACACTTTACTTGATTAGTAGTTTGATCGGATGTTAGAATTCAAGGTTTAAAATGCTTTTTCCTTAGACTCTTGAAGATGAGTGCTATTATCTTTTGACTTCTGATCTTGCTCTTAAAGTCTTGCCATTCTTTGCGAGAGATTATTTTTCCCTTCTCTGAGTCCTTGTAAGACCTTTTGTCCCTAGTCTTCCAGAGTTTCACAATTACATGCTTTGGTACAAGCCTTTTGTTACCCATATGCTAGGCACCCGATGGCCATTTCAATCTGAACTCCTTAGTTCTGAGAAATTTTCTTCAAAGAATGAAATTTTTCTTCCCCTCAGTCTTCGTTCTCTCATTTCAGAACTCCGTGTATTAGGATATGAGATCTCCTGGACAGATCTTTAAAAATCTTATCTTCTTTCTCCTATTTTCTATCTCTGTCTTTTTTACTTTCCGGAATGTTTTGTCAACTTTATTTTCAGTCTTTTTACTGCGTTTTTTATTTCTTCATGTATTTAGTTTGCAAGAGCTCTTTTATTCTCAGAATTTTCTTTGTAGCATTCTCTTCATTTCAAAGATGGCATATTCCTTACCTCTCTGGGTGTATTAATGATGCTTTAATTTTTTTCTTCCTTTGTTGCCTATTTCCTTTTGTCTGTTTTGATCTCTGGCTTCCAAGTCTCGGGTGCTCTATTCCTATTTCAGTGTGGGCTCTGAAAGCCAATGGAAAGTTCTCTGTATGGAAGGGACCTTGACAGCTGTGGGGCTCTCCGTAGGATGATCTTGCTTGGCCATTTTCTATTCTACCTATTAGATCTTTAGATCTTTCCTGTTGAACTGATCAGATCCCTCAGAGAAAACTTCTCTAATTTCCTGCCTGGAGCACATAATCCTGGCTGCTATTTCTGGAAAGCTGAGTGGAGAAATTAGTCTGGAGAGTAGAGGAGAAGGAAGTCATCTTAATGTTTGATATGTAAACTTATTTCTCTTGTCCATGTGGTATTCCCAGCCTCAAAAGTGCCTGGTATCCTCTAACCCAGAGCCTTTCTGTTTTGCCCTCTAGGAACAAACTTCTGGTGTTCTAGGGGAGAAGCAGTTGCTAGGCCAGGTTATAAGAGGAGGAGGGAGAATCTGGGATCTAACTTCCTCTGTAGCAGTTCAGCCCCTCCTGGTGTAGCTCTGCCTTCACCCTCCTATAGCTAATTGGCTAATTGGCCACCAGTTTTATACTATAGGGAGGCGGTCTTTTATCATAAGTGTGGTTGCTCTCAGTTTGCTCCATTGCTAGAATCGGCCTTCCTTGGGTCTGCCAAGTGGATTGTTATCTCTTGTTCTCTTTTCAGCTTCCAGAATTTGCTGATGCTGTGTCGTTTATTAGACATTTATGCTTTTAAAAACATCCCTTTACTATTATTTCTATTGGAGTATTGGAGAGGCTGGAGGGAATGTTTTTAATCTGCCAACCATAACCATAGATTCTAACTGCTCTTATTTTAAAACATAATTTCTTACAGGTGTCTCCTCAAACTGTCCCATGGGACTTTTACATCAACCTGAAGTTGAAAGAACGTTTGAATGAAGAGTGCGATCATCTGTGCAGCTACTATCAGTACCAGGACGGCTGTATTGTTTGGCACCAGTACACAGACTGCTTCACCCTTCAGGTCTGCAATTATCTAAAAATATAATCTCAAATCCTCGGGTAGAGAGATTTGTGCTTCATTTAGCAAAAGGACTTTTCTTGTTAATCTTCTAGAAATAGACCAATTCATTATAAATGAAAAGCATCGATCATTTTCTTTTCCCAAGTTATTTTTACCAAGAATCTCTTTTAACTTTTTATGATGTTGGTGTTCAGACATATACAGAAGTAGGTAACAGCACAGTGACCCAGTCATCTGGAATCATCATCAGCTCATGGTCCCTCTGGTTTTAAAACTCCTGGTCAGATAATTCCCACTTCCCTGCCACGTCTGGTTTTGATGCTTGGTCTGTCTCTCCAAATTTTGTTTTTGCCTTTTAGTATTCCTTGTAATTTTTTTCTTGGTAGCCAGACACAATGTACTTGGTAAAAGGAACTGCTATAAATAGACCCTTAATAATGTAGTGATAAGGTGTGAGGGGAGAGGAAGCATTATGTAGTCCTGTGATTTATGTTCTTTTTTAGTGAGCCTGTGCCTTTGGACTGTGAACTTCATAAGGGTTTCTCAGCCCCCTCTTCCAACCCCCCTCATGTGGAACAGGATAGCTAGAACCAGCTGGAGCTGTTGGGGGTTTCTTTTCCCCAGGTCAGGAGAAAAGAAACCAGTTTAACCAGTTTCCCCTGAGGGCAGACCCTGTTAAGAACAGCGTACTGGCCCTGGCTGGTGTGCTCAGTGGATTGCGTGCTGGCCTGTGAACCAAAGGGTTGCTGGTTCGATTCCCAGTCAGGGCACATGCCTGGGTTGTGGGCCAGGTCCCCAGTAGGGGGTGTGTGAGAGACAAACACACATCGATGTTTCTCTCCCTCTCTTTCTCCTTCCCTTCCCCCACTCTTAAAAAAAATAATAAAATGAAATCTTCCCAAAAAAGAAAGAAAAGAAAAGAATGCCATAGACTATTTCAGACTGGTTTCTTTTCTCCTCCTCCTGCCAGAAGCAGGAGAGTAAATTTTTCCCAATATTTACTGTGAGAACCTGGTATATAGCTCTTACAGGTAAAAAAGAGCTCACAAAAGTGTGGATCTATACTTCCAGATCCTAGAAGAGTTACTAAGTTTTTTACTTGATGAGACAGAATGGCAACTTCCAAACTCCTTTTGTAAGGAATGGGAACCAGAAGTTAAAAGGACTATTTTTGCCACTCTTGTTTTATCTATACTACCCCCCACTGGGTTATTTTTAGACCCCAAAGACAATACAACATTTTATTCTTTGGAATGTTCTTAAGAAGGTTTTTGCTGAATATTTTGATTGTAATATGAATTCTCTAAAATGGTTGGAATGGGGGTATTTAAAAGCTACCATTTATAGAGCACATTCTATGGGCCAGGTCCATCTGTGATGCTCACCATCCATTGTTTCCTGAAATCCTCACAAAGAATCTCACAGAAGAGCAGTGTTCAAACTGAGGCGAAGGCCCAGCCTACAAAGGAGCCTACATTCTGCTAGAGAACTACAAGGAAGAGTAGAAAGCAGCAGTAAGCAAGGTGTTGAGTGTAAGTGCAGTCACTCTAACTTAAGAAATAGTGAGTTTGTTTGTCCTTCTATCTGCAGGATCTTTTTCAACACAGTGAATTTATTACCCGTGAAATAACAGTGCTGATTGTTTATAACCTTTTGACAATAGTGGAGAAACTACACAAAGCAGAGATAGTCCATGGTGACTTGAGTCCAAGGAGTCTGATTTTTCGAAACAGGTTGGTCCTTTCATTCTTTTAATGTTTCTCTTAGCTTTCTCTTAAAACACGGATAGTTGTCATTTTCTTCTACCTTTTGACAGTGCCGCATTGACCAACTAGTGTGTTAAGAGAATATTTGCTACCTAAAAGGCAATAACACTGGGAATAGTTTAAAAGAATTCAAAGAAAAAAAGACATTTTGGAAATATATTAATTCAGAAAAAAGGATTACCCAGTCAGTATTAAGGTGATTCCTGTCAGGAAGAAATGTAAAATACGAATGTTGGGGGAAGGTAGACAGCCTGACCCGTCTTCGAGTGGACTGGGGCAGATCTGGCGGGACTGAGGCACTGCTTACGTTTCACAGACCAAAGCTTCAGTCAGGCCAGATGAAGGTAGTTGTGGGAGGAATGGGTGAAACCAAAGTACAGGTGCAAACTATGCCAAGGAAAGGGGCTTACTGTTCAAATTAAACCCAGCTTAGCCATCAGGTTCAGGAGGTAAGCACAGAGCAGGAAATAAGAAAGCCCAAATATTTAAGAACTGAGAACATATAGAACACATTAAGGCATGTACATTTACACAGTGGAATACTACTCGGCCCCAAAAAGGAAATTTTACCTTTTGCAACAGCATGGATGGACCTAGAGATTATTATGCTAGATCAAAGAAGCCAATCAGAGAGAACAAATACCATACGATCTCACTTACATGTGGAATCTAATGAACAAAATAAACTGATCAACAAAATAGAAGCAGAGGCATGGACACATGAAATAGACTGACAGTGTCAGAGGGGAAGGGTGGAGGGGCTGGATGAAAGAAGGTGAAAGGATTAAGGAAGAAAAACAACAGCTGTAGTATAACTCAAAGACAAAGACAACAGTGTGGTGATAGCCAGAGGGAAAGGGGATTAAGGGGCGGGGCGGGTAAGCTGGGCAAAGTGGGGAAAACGGGGGTGGGAAGAGACTTTGCTTGGGGTGACAGATGCATGATGTGGTGTGCAGGTGATGTTTTATTGACTTGTACACTTGAAACCTGGATGGATTTGTGAATCAATGTCACCCCAATAAATTTAATAAAAAACAGTAAAATAAATTATTTTTTAAAAGAAGAACAAATTAAAGCATGGCCAAGGAAGGCATAGCTCACTGTTTTTGTTTCATGAAAAGGAGTGGAGGACCATCACACCCTTGTAGCAGCTGCTGTCTCATAGTGTTTGAGTACAGCAGTCCGGTGTAAAGCGTCTGTCTGCCCCAGCTCCCGGTGACCAGTTAGCTCTCTCTGAGGTCAATGATGTGTACAAGAAGCTTCCGTCATTCTTTATGTTTCCCCTTATTACTTAATCTGTAAGAGAAGACTGAATTATAGTTGGCGTGGAAATCAAAGGAACCCTCAATGTATTTCTGCAATTATAACCAAAAGAACTGGAGCATCCCACCTTCTTTCCTGAGAAAGCAGAATCCTTCCGCTTTCCCTGGGCATAATGCAGCAGCACTTCTCATCCAGGGCAGCAGAGGTATTTTAGATGAGACGATTCTTTGTGCAGGTCTGTTCCAGGCATGTGGGGATGTTTTATATCTCTGTTCCACCCAGTTAAATGGATTCCCCCAGCCATTGTGACCACCAGAAATCCTGCCATGTGTTTCCAAATGTGAGAACCTGGGTATAGTTTTTATTTTCATTGTTTCATACCACTGAAAGTTTAGAGGGTAGTGATAGAGTTCTGAGGATGGTGGAGATTTTAAGCAAAGTGGTGTTCTAACTAAGCCTTTTAAGGGTTGAGCATTTGCGTGCTGTGTCTTTAGAAACCCCTTCTCTCAGTCACCAGTGACTCCAAAAAAGCACATAGTGTTAAGGGGGCATTGCCTTTTTGTCACTGCCTAGCAAATTTGGTAGGAAATTTCAGATAGATTCAAAAGGAATTAAAAGAACTTTTCAAAGTAATTTAACGAAGTTTTTATATATTTTTTTTGTGAGGAAAATAAGATAAAAAAAATGGAATGCCTTGCCCATGGCGATGGTGAGTGGCCAGTTCGAGAGCGAAGAGACCTACCTGCTTCTTTTCATTAACCTAAGAAACATTTCCCTGCATCTTTCAAGTTTAAAAATATCTGAGAATTATAGTTTTGTGATGGCCAAAAGAGCGGTCATATCTTGTACCAAGGAAAAATGGGAGTAGATATAAATTTTAAAGTAAAATAGATCACTCGGTGCTTTGTATCATGGGGTTAGTCAGAGCCTGTGCTTAGGAATAGGACTTGCCAGCAGTGTTGGCCAGGGACTTGAGGAGAGTAACTGGGAGAAGCAGAGAGACAAAGAAACACAAAACTAGCCCACTGCTTCTCTCACATAAGTAGTTCCTGCATTTCTGTGAGTGTAATAGCTTTATGGCATGGAACAAACCCAAGGAAAATAAAATCAATTAATAGTGAATTAGTGTTACATAGTTGTGTTTTTGTTTGTTTGTTTTTTTTTGTTTTGTTTTTGTTTTTAGGAAGTAAGAGTTGAAATAAGAGCAAGGTAGAATTTTGTATTAGTTTATAATACAGTGTTGTATTATAAATATAATAGTGTTATATTATTATTATATTATTATAATATTATAATAGTGTTATAATAAGTGTTGTATTAGTTTAATAGGAACAGTATAGTTTACATTTCAATGTAGGTAGCACTTTACAAAAAAAGAGCTTTATGTTGTTTTCAGTTAAACTCTGGGAGGGAGGAATCTGAATGAAAATGGAAACTTGGAATGTCTAATTTATAATAGTAAACAAGAACGACTAGGACACCTAGTTCCTCTATCATAATTCTTACCAGTATGTATAATCGTTGCTTTTATATGTACAGTGTAAGGCAGAGGCATGCACTCCACTTCCAATACTTCCTTTATATAATGTAGAAACTTATAAATGTTCTGTGGTGACCATGGACTGTGTTTTAGATACACAGTAAGTACTTTGTGTCACTAAACTATAATCTTGACATTCCTTTCTTGGTTGGATGGACACTGCCACGGCTCTTACAGGTGCATTTTAAAAACTAACCACTGGAGGGAGCTGTTGTCATAGCTAAGACACCTACAGAACCTCTTTTTCTTTTTTTTTTTTTAAGACCATCTATGCAGCTTCTTTCATGGCCTATTTTTATTATCCCTTTCTCTTTAATTTTGGTTTAGAATCTACGATCTCTATGATTGTGAGAAGAACAATCAAGCTTTGAACATAGTGGACTTTTCCTACAGCGTTGACCTGAGAGCACAGCTGGACGTTTTCACCGTCAGCGGCTTTCGGACGGTGCAGACCCTGGAAGGACAAAAGATCCTGGCCAGCTGCTCTTCGCCCTGCCAGGTGAGTGTGAGCACGCCTGAGCACGTGCCGAGGGTTTCCTGGTTGCTTTCTTCTCTAGAGAAGCTATGGGAGCTACTGTTTACTGATATTTTCTCTCCTGGAATAGATGACCTAGTTTTCAAATATCATCAACTCAAGCAAAATGTACCATTTTTTGTCTCAACACTAAAGAATAGACACACACGTGCAGACCCATGACTAACTCAGTAGCCGGAGTGTCGGGGCCAATTCTGCCACTTATCCAGGCAGTCTTGTATAAGTCATTTTCTGTGATCTTCTCTGTAAAATAAGGATAACAGTCTGCTCTGTATTCATCAGAATCGTTGACTATTAAATCAAATAATGTAATATGAAAATAACATCAGGACAAATATAGAGTGTTTTTTATGTTATTTGCACAAGTGCTTTCTGACTCAGTTCTGGACATATGGCATTTGCTGACTGAATGTGTAGCATGAGCCTGAATTAATCATGTGGACCACGTTTAGATCACAGCTGGAGTCCACTCAAATGCAGCAGGTCCACAAATATGAATCCGATGGTCCAGATATTTTTGTTACCTTTTGTTCTTAAGGGTGATTCCTAGAGTTGGCTCCACTGATCACTTCTTAAGGAGCTTTCCCTTTACTGTAAGGGTAAGGAATGGTCTACTAAAGTAATATATTGTAAAATAAACTTAATCACTATAGTATCTCTCAACTTCCTACATAAATAAATTACCATGATAGTAGCAGAGAATTATTTTAGCTGACAATACTTTTTGTAATTCCAGGTAGATCTGTTGGGTATAGCAGATTTAGCACATTTACTGTTGTTCAAGGAGCACCTACAGGTCTTCTGGGATGGGTCCCTCTGGAGACTTAGCCAAAATATTTCTGAGTAAGTATTAGTGATTTCAGGGTCTCTGCCTGTTCAAATAATCTTCTCTTTCTCTTGGGTGCTCTCTCTGCTTTGGCAGCCTTAGTTTTCTTAGTCCCAATGCCACAATTCCATTCGTTTCAACCAGTGTTTCTTAGGAGTGTCAGCGGAGCACCTAGTGCAAGACAGGGGAGTTGGTAATTAAAAATAAGAAACAATTCAGACTTCAGGACATCATTCTGGACCTAGATTTATCATACAGACTGCAAAACGTTTCATGAGAATAATTTTCTAACCAATTGGTTTTAGTTTCCCCCACCCCCCGCCAAAGATTTTATTGTCTTAAAGGCCAGGGCTGGTCTTAAGTCTTACATCCCTCTTTCATAGCTGTTGTTATGAAAGGTTAAGCATCTCTTGAAGAGAGTTAAATTTTTAAATTATATACTAACTGTAGGCTATTATTTATTTAATGAATGGATGGAATCAAAACAGAGAACTGAATCTCCTTGGTGAAGAAGTAAATGGTCTCTTAATAAGAGCTGCTTGGTCTCAGAACTTTAGTACTTCCTCAAGCCTGCTCATTCAACTTGTTACATACTCCATATTCTTCCTCAGTTCATCAGAGCTAATAACTTCTCAGAACAAGGTTACCAATCTAACACTTATTGATAAGTTCTCTTTTTTTTTTTAAGATTTATTGATTTTCTTTATCTTTTAAAAGTTTTTTAGAGATTTTATTTATTTATTTTTAGACAGAGGGAAAAGGAAGGAGAAAGAGAGGGAGAGAAACATCAATGTGTGGTTGCCTCTCACACGCCCTACCAGGGACCTGACCTGGCTGCAACCCGGGCACGTGCCCTAGACTGGGATTTGAACCAGTGACCCTTTGGTTTGCAGGCTGGCACTGAATCCACTGAGCCGCACTAGCCAGGGCTAAGATTTATTTATTTTCTAGAAGTGGGAAGGGAGGGAGTAAAAGAGGGAGGAAAACATCCATGTGCAAGAGAAACTCTAATCGGTTGCCTCTTGCACACCCCCAACTAGGAACCTGGCCTGCAACCCAGGCATGTACCCAGATTGGGAATTGAACCAGTGACCTTTCAGTTCACAGGGCAGCTCTCAATCCACTGAGCCACACCAGCCAGGGCTGTTCTTTGGTTTAAAAAAAAAAAAAATCAGTGTTGAAGATTTAACACCTCTTCTCCTTCATTTCCCCCTCCCAACAATTGAATAACATTTTTTTTCTTTATTTGATTCAGAGTTTGGCCAGTCTTGTTTGTCTCTAACATGTACTTTAAAAATGGGTTTGAAATATCATGTAGTTACTTCAGTCAAGCTTTGTATTCTCCGAGGATTGTGGAGATAGCAAACCACTGGGCGGGCGGAGAAGGGCTGCGGTCTCCAGTGACCTGGACTTTAGGAAAGTCAGAGTAGAGGAGACGATGTTCATCTTTCTTCTATTTGTACAAGGGAAAGGCTGCATCTTAGTACAACGGAAATGTGTAGATTCAGATGAGAGAATTTTTTTCCCCTTTTTGTGCATAGTATTATGGCTTTTCCCACTATGGTCAGTCTTTTCCTAAAGTTTCACCTTGGACTTTCAAAGGACTACTTGAATGATCTCTAACCCTAGAGTTCTGGGCATTGCCTTAAATCATCTTGATGCATAAATGTACTTCTTGAGTTAAACACAGAAAGAATTTTAACTTTTATATGCCTAATCTTGATGGAAATGGTTTTGTATATTTTTAGGCTAAAAGATGGTGAATTGTGGAATAAATTCTTTGTGCGGATTCTGAATGCCAGTGATGAGTCCACAGTGTCTGTTCTGAGGGAACTCGCAGCAGAAATGAATGGGGTGTTTGACACGACATTCCAAAGTCACCTGAACAAAGCTTTATGGAAGGTAGGGAAGCTGATTGGTCCTGGGGCTTTGCTCTTCCAGCAAGATAGGCAGCCAAGTGTCTCGCAGATGTCTGCCTGAAACCACTGGTTCTGTCGTAGGACCCCAACCTGTGTGTGCTGTCATCTACTTAGGGCACATTTAGATGCACCGCCAACACTCTTCTACTTTTTGGTAGTGGTATACTTCTAGGTAACTGGCACTTTTTTACACAGCAATGTACCTACTCTTGTTCTTGTCTAACTAACAAAGAACTGTTCTATTCTACATGCTCTGCATATGAATGGGTACCTTGTTGTTTAATGCATTTGTCTCTACTTTCCCCTGTACTTTTCCTTTTTGTAATTTGTGAGGTGTACCCTTACAATCACTGTGTATTTTAGTAAATAATAAAATAGCATTTGTTAAATTTGTGCTTCTACCATCTTTTCTACTTCTTGCCAACTAAGATGATAAATAGCCTGGTTTTTGTAGATAGGAACCATGGTGCCATGGAAACGTACATAGTCTAGATTTGGGACTGTTACGATAGGGTCATGACAGAGCAGCTAACCATTTCTTCAGGTATTCCTGACCTTCAACTAAGTGGTCTGGATTGAAAAGTAGATAAAACAATTTATACAAGGCCAAATTTTCTTAAATTTCAAGTGGCAATACATTGAGAACATATATATGTTCTCAATGTATTTTAATGTTTTTTATTTTTTATCCACCAAGTTCCTTGGTCTATTTATATAATGTAGTGGTTCTGTTGCTACTGGGTCTCTGATTATGTCAGTGGCTGTTAGAAAGGAAAAGAAAAGGTTTGAATGGGGTTTAGCAACCCTTTAGAAACGGCTGATGACCTCTGTGTTCCACACAGAATGACTTGGTGGAGACGTGAAGGAATAGAAAGGGGTCTTGTTATTTGGAAGATCTGAAGATGCGGAAGGTCAGAATAAAGAGATAACTCTGAAGTGTGGAGTAACTTGCAAGAGTAGGTCTAGATGAAGTATTTGGGCCCCCACATGGAAGCATGAACTACCCCTGGCCTTGGGGATAGGGAAGGAAATTGGTATAAAGGGGTACTGAAAATTATCTACTTCATATCTAAATATCAGAATCATCATATATGGCCCTGGCTGCTGTGGCTCAGTGGATTGAGCACAGACCTGCAAACCATAGGGTCGCTGGTTCCATTCCCAGTCAGGACACGTGCCTGGGCTGCTGGCTGGGTCCCCACTAGGAGGCACTCAAGAGGCAACCACACATTGGTGTTTCCCTCTCTTTCTCCCTGCCTTCCCCTCTCTAAAAATAAGTAAATAAAACCTTTTTTTTTTAAATTATCATATATATCTCCATTCCGGTGCCTGATTTTTTTAAAGCTCTAGCTGTCACTGTTACTGCTCTAAGATTTCTGGAAAGCAGAAAATTCTAAATATGTCTCAACTAAAAATATTTAAGCATATATAGTTGAAGCGCCGAGTCAGAAATTCTTGCTCTTAACTAAAATATGACTCCTCAGACATTTTCATGCTTCTTCTCATACAACTGAAGATGTAAAACTATGTATTTGTATCTTCTAGTGTTTGAGCCCTTCAGCCCCCCCTGCTCTCCTCATTTCTCCATCTACCGCTTAACACAAAGGCATTACTCTGAGGCTGGACAATAAATTCAGATTCTTTCTTACATAAGCTTAGCTACCATCTAGTGAATTCTTCAGCAGCCTTGACAACAAGGCTGACCAACCAGTGGGCATGGGGAGAGATTAATTTCTGAAAGTCCACTCTGAGGAAGGGGAAGAGAATCTGAGGAAGCTACTCATTTGAGAACTTGCAACTGTTTTGCCGCCTCTCCCCCCATTTCCCCTCCCCTCCAACTGCAGGCCTTTGTCAGGGAGCGGGAGCAGTGCCTGACCAATTGGGACCTGTGATGTCTTCGTCTTCTCTTTGCTGAAGCATAAAACCACACGCTGGCACATTCGTATTTCTCTTATTTCTTATGCTTGTTTGTCTTGGGAGAAAGAAGCCTCTGATTTTTTACTGAAGTTTCAAATGATTCTTAATTCTTTTCTCACTGAGGCAGAGTAGCATGATGATGGACCTAGAAGGAAGAAAAAAAAAAAGCTGAAAAGGCAGGACTCTCACTTCTGTTTGAAAGAGACCATGGAGCATAGAGTGCCTCACCACCCACACAATGTGCCCCCAGTAATCTGCTGTAGCTCTGAAGCCCCGCCCCCCTGTGAGGGCCGGTGTGGAAGAGCCCTCCCCCGGGGAAAAGAGCGCTCTAACCAGTGCTGAGCCTGAACCTCGAAGCAGAGTTTTCCGGTAACAGCAGGACGTCAGGCTGTTAGTGGAGCCTCAAGATAGATAAGAAAGCCTTTCAGAGGCTTAGCGCAGGACTCTGAAATGAATCTTACTGTGTTTAGGGTAAAGTTTTTAAGCAAAGACAGCAAAGAAATGATTCTCGTCTGTTGCATCAGAAAATGAGAGGTTATTTGTCCAACTGCACCAACTCTTTCTAATATGTTAAAATTTGCTTCCAATCTGGCTCCTAAAATTAAAAGTTCCCTGTGTAAGGAAGGTACATTAAAGAAAAAAGTTTTTAATAAGACAAACTTCAACCTTTGAGGTTCATGGTTCCACCAAAGACCCATGCAGCCATGAATAGAGTATAAAGGTGGTGTTTCAAGTTAATGTGGGGAAAGACGTGTTATTCAATGATTGCCGTGGAGACAGTGGGTTAGAGGTGGATCTCTACCACCGGTGCCACCACCGGTCTGCACCGCACGTTTATACCGGTTGGACAGAGGCCCGCCCTCTGGTGCACGCGGTGCCGCGCTGCACGCCGTTGCCTGGCCAGGTTTCAGCCCTTCTCAGCCTGGTGCTCTTGTGCAATGGATAAATGTCATAGCCATGTGTTTTAATGCTTATCCACAAAACAATTTCAGATAGGTCAAAAATGTTAATACAAAAAAGAATATAAAATATTAGTTTACTTTGTAATTTCTTGTCTATGTGACATTAAACCAAGATATAAACAGAAGATTGCTGTATTAGTATAAAAGATAAACAAAATCTAACATGGCCACTTATCTCTCCTGTCAAAAAACAAAACAAAGTAGGAAAAATTACTTACAAATACATATGAGGTGGGACCCAAAAAACCCCAGATTTTAGTTATTGAATATAAAAAATGATGTATTTATTCTTACATGTTTAAACTTCAGTCACCTTCAAAGTACTCTCCATTTGATGCAGTACACCTATCAAGATGTTTTTTTCCACTGCTCAAAACACTTTTTTTAAGATTTTATTTATTTTTAGAGAGGGGAAGGGAGGGACAAAGTGAAGAGAAACACCAATATGTGGTTGCTTCTTTAGTGTCCCCTACTGGGGACCTGGCCTGCAACCCAGACATGTACCCTGACTGAGAATTGAACCACTGACCCTTTGGTTTGCAGGCTGGCACTCGATCCACTGAGCCACACAAGCCAGGGCTCAAAACAGTGTTTGAACTTGTCAATTTCGATGCCTTTTAGTACTTCTGCCATTTTTTGTCTCACTTCTTCCACATGGGGCAAAACATTTCCCTTTGAAGCCTTTTTTTTTTTTTCAAGATTATTTTTATTTTTTTAGAAAGAAGGGAAGAAAGGGAGAAGGAGAGGGAGAGAAACATGAATGTGAGAGAGATACATCCATCCTCTCCCAAGCCCCCAATTGGGGACCTGGCCCACAATCCAGGCATGTGACCTGACAGGGAATCAATTGGTGACCTTTTTGTGTGCAGGCTGGGCTCAATCCACTGAGCCACACCAGCCAGAGCTCCCTTTGAGGACTTTTTTCATCCCAGGAAACAAAAATATCACAGGGACAAGATTGGGTGAATAGGGAGGTTGGAGCACAGTAGTCATACTGGGGTTTTTTGGTCAAAAACTGCTGAACACTCAGCACAGTGTGGGCAGGTGTGCTCATAAATCACCCATCGTGAAATGGGCAAATGTGTTGAAAGTCTTCCAAAAAAATTCACTGAAGCCAAACAGAGACAACAATGCCAACTGGTACACTGACACAGAAGGGTTTCTAGAACACTCATCTAGTGGGGGAAGCCTGTATACCACAAGAGGCCCACCCTCCAGAAGACAATTCCAGTTTTGGGGGGGTTCCCCCTCATACTTGCATCATCTTTCACTTGGATTGCCTCAGTTCTCACAACTGTCTCTGGTCCCCTCTCCCTCTTCCAGGCACGGACAAGCCCTCCTGTGGCCTCCCATCTCACGCAGCACAGCATCTAAGACCTGACCCGACCCCACCCCGCTACTCCTGACCTCTCCCTGACTCCTCCTTCCCTTGCTCACCCCACTCTGGCACTCTCATCTGCCCACCTCCTCGTGCCCCTCAAACATGCCGACTAGTTTCTCTCTTTACAGCCTGTTCGCTTTGCCCTTTCTCCTGCCTGGAATGTCCTTTCCTGGGTTTCACGTGGATTACTCCCTTACTGCTCGTCAGGTGTCTGTTCAAATACCCATCTCATCAGACAGGCCTTCCTGGCCATTCTGTGCAAAATAGCTGCCCCACACACACTGCTATTACTTTCTCTCCTCTTTACCCTGCCTTATTTTCTCTGTGGCACCTATCAACCACTTCACATGTGTGTGAGTGTGAGTGTGTGTGAGTGAGCATTGTCCTGTTTACTCTTTTCAAAATTAAATTTTTTCCAAGCTTATTTAATCAAAATGTGTACTTTATTTCCCATATGTGTTTAATTGAGCCTCACAGTCATTTGAAAGTGTGTGTGTGTGTGTGTGTCCTACTACCAGAATTTAAGCTCCTAAGGGCAGGGATTTGCTTTGTTTCCTGTAAAAAATGCAACATAAACCTGAAGTTTTCATCACTCATGTAGTAGTTGAAAGTTGTGTTTGAGGATAAGGGGAGGCAAGCACTCATTATTAGCTGGAATGCAAATTTAGTGCATTATTAGGTGATTTGGCAATTTTTATTAAATTTAAATATTCATTTCTTTCTGTTGATTAAATCTCCTACTATTTACCTCAAAGAAATATTGACACTGGTGGGCGGAGATAAAGTGCTGTTTGTAATCGTCCTCCCTACTTCCAAGGCTCTTTATGTCCGAGAGGACAGTCTGACCCTGGGAACGCAGGGTCCTGGCACAAAGCGGAGGTGACATCAGACCACTTTTGTAGACGGGGGTGGGGTGCCTTGGCATTGCTGCTAAAGGCCCGTCTTCCAGTCTGGCAGGAGCCTTCCAGATGGCAGAACCTGAGTTAGGCTTTGAAAGACGAGTTCCCCACGTGTTCAGCTTCTGTCAAAAAGGGCGAAGTGATTGCCTGTGGGGAGAGGGTATAATGGTGGGGAGAGGAAAGAACGAAGGCTTTTACTTGTTAATTTGTACATTT